GCCTTGACGCTAGATATGCAGTAGTTTAGTTCATAGGCATAATTACAATGTAACTCGATTGCTAGTTAATTAAAATGAAAGAACCAAATTTACATTAACATAGGTATAATTATATTCATTAAAACTTAAAAGAATTACAGATACGTAATTTAATGTGTTAATTTCGTGTACCTTTCATAATGTTAGGTTTCTATTGCTAAATTTAGAATTTCAGTTTCGAAGAATTTAGTGAATGCCTATAGATCAGCTATTCCCAAAGTGGGCAATAACGGCCCCTTGTGGGCGCTGCAACCCTAAAGGGGGGCGGCTGGATACCCAGATGAAAAATGGGTGTATAGAGGCTTAGGGGGACGATTTGTAATGTCATCTAAGAGAACTCTTCGATACTGACTGAGTTTTCGACTATCGACTACAATTTGTAAACACCAACTTATAATATTAATAAAGAGATTGCTCATAATAACTCGGTTCTATATTTCTCTCCGTGTAATTAATATATGCATATCTGTCCTGTTTTATTGAATAAATAAAATAAGTTTCTTGTTAATATGTCGCTCCGTTTAAAAGTCTTCTTTAGAATGAATTTTTATTTTCTGCAAATATAGTGGTGGCTCCCAATATAGTGGTTTTTAAGTTGGTGAAAAAATGGGGGCACTTATTTTTTTTTATACTGAAAAATATTGTTAATGAAAAATTCTTATAATATCCACTTCGTCCCTGGCACTTTCATTCAATACGAGTAGAATTTCTTTTTTTTTTACCTAGGCAACAACCCTATTTTGAAAATTCAATAGCAACCAGCAATACTTATGAAATAACGATGTAATTAACTTCGTTACTGGGTATTTGTAGATCACCGAACTAAGTGATTCATTTGCATAGTTAAGCGTCAATCAGTAAAATTCTTCACTAGTAAGATGTTCAATTTCAACAACACACTAGAGATAACCTCACGATAAAAGTATTAAGCCCTTTTTAAACCTTCTTTGAACTGACACAAAATCTATTAATGTATTTATTCTTAATAAAATACAAGTAAAATCATTGCAAATTGAACATCTTGAAACATATTTTATGTAACCGTTCTAAATATGTCAACAGGCTATGCGTAATGTTTGAATAACTCGCTTTATCTTAACGTAATTAATAAGTAAATTGAAACTGGACCGCCGAACAAGGAACAGCACTTTCGCTATTAAAACTGCTAGCCCTTGCACACGTAAGTATAATGCAATTTGCATAACGAAAGATTTCAGGACATTTTTACACTAACGAAACTTAGCACCTAACATGGTCCACTTTTTATGAATAGAAACCTCCATTATGGAAATCTAAAAAGATTACATACTAGGACCAATGGTTTAAAGGTTAAATGATTAATTTTTATATTTTTTAAACTATAAAAATCATAGACGAAGAAGAAAAAAGATGACTATAAATATGTTGCTACATAAGACCAATTAGAGTAGCTCAGTAGCGTAGTGAATTAGCACCGTGGCAGGTACGAGTATATCGATTTACGATCCGATTGCATAGTTTTCGGCCGATCGGTGTTGTTAAAAGCAACTTTCGCAAGGATCGGTCACGGGATGGTTGACAAAAAAATTATGATCTACTCCGTGCTTCGGAAGACACGTTAAGCCGATGGTACCGGCTATACATATCGCACGTTGAGAATGAAAATGTCACTAACCAAAAACGACGCATTTTTACTTTTGACATTTTTCTTTGTTAAGTCTAAACTTTAAAATGCAAAGATCCCTGTAAACGTAGCTTGCATAGAAACTGCTAGGTGGCGTAGTGACGATACGTTGTTTAGAGGGGCTGATTACAATTTCTTGAACTTTAAACGCTCATTACTCAAAATCGCATTTTTTGCATTGTGTCACTATCGTTCTCAACGTGCGATATTTGCAGTCGTTAATACCCTCCAATCAGCCAGCGTCCTCCACGCTGGCGGATTGGTCATAGCTATCTTCCTTAACGACCCATAAGGAAGGTCTGAGCCCCTGCACTGGGGACATAAAAGAGTTGATGATGATGATAATAATAAGATAATATATGGATCATCCATATACAATACTCAGATTTTGATAACCGATTTTGTTAATACACCTATCCACACTTTTTTTTACTACAAATGATTATTAGCAAAATAAATATGAAATTGCAAAGAAAATTTCATAAATACTTATGATATTAAACTGCACTTTTTGCCGATCGAACATCGTTACATGGAACATGATAATAATATAACAGTCGTTTGTACAAATACAGGTTTAAGTTGCTTTTTAGCTATTGAAATTTCAATTGATTTGATAACATCTAAATAAGTGTTGGATATTTGATGGCTAAATGGACAGAATTTAAGTTGTACTACCATCTACTTTAATTAATATTGAGAAATCGACATCATATGCCAAATATTTTAATTAAAAACATGAATTTATAAAAATAAATCATAGTTATCCTTAAAATTCACGTTTATTGCATTACTTCTTAAATATTTGCTCTTTTTAAAGAGAAAACTGATAAATGTTAGGTTTTTTGTAATGGAGAGTTTTACAAAACACTTTTACAATAATTTTAAAGTTGCATCATATTAATCAAAAATGTTTTTGTAAAAAGTAATGGTGAGAAGTAATTTTCTGTCCATATCATCTCGTTGAGGGCACATTGATTACATGTCATTTCCTCTTTTGTCTTGAAGCTTATCCTTAAGACGAGACATGAAGCTATCCACAACAATTCACTACAAACTGTCAAATATTTAAATTCGATCTAGAACTCAACTGCCAATACCTTTTAGATACAAAATTAGAAAATTTATAATACAACGAAATGTACTGTTGACTCTCCAAAAAAGAAGTCCTAAATTAAAATTTACATGTTAAAGCCTGACAATTTTGAATATGTGATAGATATTTTTAAAATAGTATAACTATAGATGGAAGAACTTTTTTTTCAATAATGCACGTATAAATGTTTGTGTATTTTTGCCCCTAATATATCTTAACTAACCAAATGAATCACACATATGTCTTCACATGTAACAACATAAGTACAATATCATAATGACTTTAAAATTACCATTGCTGAGACAAACCACATAAGGTTGTTTTGTAGTTAGGTTTAGGAAAATCACAACATCAAAACAACCCTGCGATTCTGTATAACTCCAAACCCGAATTCGAATTCACTAAGGCGTTTCAGGCGATTTCACTTCAAAAAGGGACATCAGCTCAATCTTGAATTGGTATTAACATTTTGTGGCATAAGTGAAGTGAGTATCGAAATGACATAGGCATAGAATATTTGAGACAATCAATCAATTTGTTTTGTAATTTTATACAAAAAATGGAATCAATAGAATTTCTTCACTAAATGACGTGTATACGGTCACATGAGTGAATTCGAATCCGGATATGGATTTTTTAGAATCAAAGTCAAAGTCAAAGTCAAAATAATCTTTATTCAAATAGACTTCTTAAAGGTACTTTTGAATCGTCCAACATTTTTTTCCCTACCGCTCGTTCAGGACGTCTTTTGGCTGATAAGAAGAACGAGCAAGAAACTCACCAGCTCTAATAGGAGTAATGACATTTACAAAAACCATGCCATTACCAGATCAATACATTATAAATAAAGAGAAAAAAAAAAGCAACTATGGTTTTATAATGATAATATAATCATTTAATAATAATGGAAGCAAGATAATTTTTTATATATAATGGGTTAAGAAGTAATCACCTCTCCAGTTGCTGGATCATCTCAAGTCCAAGCATTCTTATCTGTTATATAATCTGATACCTTATAGTAAGCTTTTCTAATATCGCAGGGCAGACCATAGAATTCATGCAAATATAGACAATGTAAATCTTTCTCTTATTATACGTTTCATCATCATCATCATCATCATCATCAGCCCTTTTACGTCCCAACTGCAGAGGCTCAGGCCTTCCTTATGGATGGTTAAGGAAGATGGACCATGACCCTCCACGTTGGCCCAATGCGGATTGGAGAGTATTAACGACTGCAAATGTAGCCGGGTCAATGGCTTGACGTGCCTTTCGACGCACGGAATAGCTCTAGATAATAATAATTTTTTGGTCACCCATCCCGTGGAGCAAATTTCACAAGGGTTTATATCCATAAGGAAGGCCTGAGCCCCTGCAGTGGGGACGTAAAAGGGCTGATGACTATGATGATGATGATCGCCACTCACACTTAACTCACAACATTTCAAAATATTATTTTAAAAAGTTTACAGAATGCCTAGAAGAGTAGTTATTTCATAGATTGGTTAAACTTAGAGTGGTAAGGTGGTAAAAAGAATAGGCACCTAAATCTGAATTCCTAATTAAACATTATCTGATTAAAACCTCGAAGAAGTAATCTATATACTAATTATATTTCTAAATTACAAATGTAGACAATAAATTCGAGTGTTTTATTGCAAAAAAAATACTGTCTCTTTCTTATCCTCAATAAAACGTCTAAGACTAATATTATGTAAAGCTTAAACTTCCTGGCCAATAAAACCAACGATCAACTCATAACTAACTATTTTCTCTGTATTGCTTACTGTGGATTTCTTTCTTAAGTTATTTCAACAAATAGAAATTTATATTACAATTAGAGCATAATATTCTTAAAAAGTCTGATAGTCCGTCTGTGTTTCTTTCAATATTCCGCATATATTTTGATCACATTCTATCCCATTTTTTTTTTCAGAATGTATCTATTAAAAACAAAATGTCTTAATATGGTGGGTCAAAAAATTGTCGACCTCTCACTTGGAGTCCATTTTCTCTATACATTGTAGCTATATCGGGTTGCGACATTCGATAAAGCAAGTAGATTGGCAATGCGGCAATTACTGTGATCCGATCGAATATCGTCGGGATAGACCCCCTCCACAAGATTAAGTTTTGTTTGTTATATAAAAAGAGTGCGCTATCAGAACAACACCAGTCGTCAAGGCATTTGTCTAAAGCAAAATGTTCTCCAAAGTAAGCATACGCTCAAACTATATTACAAATGTCGTAACACTCAAATGTAGAACAATATCAATTGTGTGAAATAGATCTTACCATCCTTCAAATGTAAAAAACGCGTTATTATCTAAATCAGACTAATTAGTAAATATATTCTGACATCTATTTTCAGAACCAACGAAAACATAAAAATTATATTATTTGTTTCAATTTAATAGGTCATTATCGCCTGCGCCCTTGTAGCAGCGTGTCATGCTGGCCTTCTGCATCACGCACCTGCAGTGTCTTCGCAGAACATCGTTCGTCACGATCAAGTCATCCACCACGAGGCACCAGTCCACTACGCGCAAGCTGTCCACGCCGTCCCCGTTGCCCATGCTACCCATGCTGCCCCCGTGGCCGTACATGCTGCTCCAGTAGCTGTGCATGCTGCCCCAGTCGCTGTACATGCTGCACCTGTGGCTGTCCACGCAGCACCTATCGCCCACGAGGAGCATTATGTTGATGAATATGTAAGAAACCGTACTTTATTAAATTTCCTTTATTTTTCATTGACAGTAATTTCTTAAATTGACATTAGATAGAAATCATACATTATATTGTAAGTAGTGAAATCTTCAAGTACCTTAGATCCAATTTGCGTAGAATACAAAAAATTGCTTGTTAGCGGTCAAAACTCTGATAGTACCTACTGTAAGTTACGTTAAAATCTTTGGCTAAATCTACACATGTTTCATTCATTCACCAATATGCCTTTCTCTAATAAACAAACGAGAAGCACATCTATTCGTGATGTATTTTCATACATAGGGTTACTGAAATTTACTGATAGTACTCGACGTACTCTTGTCCTGACCTTTTACTGTGAGGACGATACTGTCAATATAATAGGTCAAATTTAACTAATTTCTAGGTTAATCAAAACATTATTCACACATGCTCTTTTTCCAGGCTCATCCTAAATACGGTTACTCGTACTCAGTAGAAGACCCCCACACCGGTGATCACAAGTCCCAGCATGAAGAACGCGACGGCGACGTGGTGAAAGGCGAATACTCTCTTCTCCAGCCTGACGGCTCTTTCCGCAAGGTCACCTACACTGCTGATCATCATAATGGGTGAGAAATTATACTAGCCAGTAGTCATCATTTTTCACATAACAGGTAGGCGTATCTTATGTATCACTTCGATGATTTGTATCAATCAAGTAACTGTTGATTGAGGTTAAAAATTGTCATATGTAGCTGCGGACGCCAGTGTATGCATGTTTATTGTATAGATAGATGACTAATGCAAATTTACTAATTGTAGTCTATAGGTAACTGGGAAGACTTATAATTGACTTTTTTCTGTAATATAATTTTTATTATTTTTTATTGTGTAGCTATAACATACATACATTATTGTAAGAGGCCCCGAGCACTACCTCACGTATGTTTATTGTTTTGGTTACAGATTCAACGCCGTGGTACACAATTCCCCGCCCGTCATCCATCATCATTAGGCGCTTACTCAATCTGTGATATTAGAATATTGTAGCATACAAACAAATCGAGTCTGTCTTTCTTCATTCTTCTTAGTAAACTATTCTTTTGTACATAAACCTCATTTGTATGTACGAAACTATAATGTAATAAATTAATGAAAATAAAAAGTATTATTTTAGTTACCTATATCCTCTTCGCTATATTATATAACTTTTGATTTTGAACAAAGATATAACAAATTGTCATCTTTATCAAAATTTTAAATATTTGTAAAATATTTCTTTCGACTGTTAGGATGGATTAGATAGATAGATCTTCTTTTTTATGTAACTGTCCAGTCTAACTTTTGGTTGCCTGGAAGATATTGCTTTTTAGGGATAAGGCCGCCAATTGTACTGTTTATTGTTATTAATTGTTATGTTGATTTTACTTTCAAGTACAATAAAGTGTTCATTCATTCATTCATGGATTGTATGGACATTAACAGTAGTAGCGAAAAAGTAACAAGTGCTTGAAAAATTCGTCAGTCCTGGGTAGTTCAGTGGTTCGAGCAATCGCCCGGATTGCGAAAAGTCATGGGTTGGAGTCCCATCTCACAGTGTCAGGGACAAAGTTGATTTTTTAAGCATTTTTAAGTAAGATAAATCTATCTTTATATATACTTTATATATATGTACTCTATCTATCTTATATACTTTATATAGAGTACAAATAAGCTTTGATTATAAATGATGAAAACTAAAGGTTTGGGTTAATTCATTTCTATATTTACCAACATGAACATTCAACTTATTATCTCTCATTCCGAGATAAAACTATATAACTGAACAACGACTTGAACTGGACTTGATTAATCATATAAACGCAAGTAGTATACGCTGCAATTAGCACATGTTTAAATTGGTTTTAGAACTTGTGAATTTGGTTTGTAATTGCACCTTACCGAGTGGAAATAAGGAGCGAAACCCGATCTTATATAGTATCGAATGAAATTTAATAAAACCTCTGAGCTCAGAGTGTGTAGAGCCTTTATGTAACCATTAAATTATAAAACTATAGAAATTAATCAGTATTTATGATATGAACCCTTAGAGTTTCTGAGCTCAGAGTGTGTAGAGCCTTTATGTAACCATTAAATTATAAAACTATAGAAATTAATCAGTATTTATGATATGAACCCTTAGAGTTTCGCCATGTCCATCTGTTCGTCCTTCCATGATTTAGCTCAAAAACTATATGTACTAGACAGTAGTAATTTGGCATGAGTACACAAATTAATTACACCGCAAGTGTAAAGTAAAACGGGCTGAATTTTTTTTTTATCTTTCCTACATTGTGGGACATCGTTCGAAGTGTGGGAAGGCCGTTTTTTAATTTAATAAACCGTATTAAGTTTTAAAGACCTAATTTTCCTTAGAGTCAGGTGCCCCTTTTCTACTAACTAAACAGACGTTAGGTAGTAGTACCTAAATATAATGTGCTGTAACAGTTTACTTAATAAACTGTCCTTGTTTTGAATTCTTTTTTAATACAAATAAATTTAAAGAAAAATATAATTAAAAATAGTTGAAGGTACAATGTTAACAATTGTACTATGGAGGTAGGCAGACATAGGAGCGCAGCGCGGCTCATAGTGGTGCCATAGTATTTAAAATGACTTCTCGCGAGTCCAATGGATTCATTGTGATTTGATTATTCCAAATTGTGTGTAAGTGCTAAATAACCCCGAAATCGGGTGAGTGTTCTATTCATTTAATTTTTGCTGCTCGCTTATAAGTTTATTACCTTAGAGTATTTTATTTTTAAAATCACAAGTCCAATAAGTAACTTTTAAATTCTAAATCTGTTTCGCTGTTTTATAATGTTTATTCATTGTTCATTGAATATTATTACTGAGGTAAAAATCCAGTTCTTAACCTAATGTTTGATAATATTTTTATTCTATTTCGATAAAGGTGAAATAGATATTTAAGGAAAGAAGTATTATAAAATTGTTGCTATACTTAAAGTAATAACATTCATAAAACAATATATTGAAACAGAACGGAGTTCTGAGACTATGCAAAATTAACATTTTATTATTTTTCTACCTTACAGATTTCATATTTAATTTTGTCTGCTAAATTAAATATATAATTAAATATAATCGATACATTGTCCGAATGCTAGTTATTTCAGTTTCAATTCGTGATTTGTTTCCATCTCAGGTTCGATTCCCGGGTTGTGCTATAAATAATTTTGATAACCTTGAAATTTAGATGATTTTAAAGGGAACACTTAGTGTTTTCATTTTACTTGAAGTACGGGTTCGATTCCCGTATAATATAATATATTAGTAATTGTATTTTTTTAACTTACAGATTATTATCATAGTATCTGTTATTTTAACTTCATTCTAAATGATTTTTGATATCATTTGAAACACACGTTTTTATATTTTTTTAGCCGGTAGATTTTTACAGAAGCTATAGCAAATGCAGCTATCTTAATTTTTCCAGGCCACAGGTAGCTGCACTTTTTGAACTTCTATTTAGTGCTGTATTTATGTTACAGGGTTTTACTGCTAGTTCTACTTACTGCTAGTTCTACTTCTTCATCTACTCCAGTCCTCCTGAGCTTCGTGGACCTTCGGTGCTGCTGACCGGAGCTGACGTCGGGTCTACACCCTTCTCAGCCTCTGCCCGGCCCGTGACGCCGAACCCGCGAAGTCCTCACTAAATCCCCTTGCAAAACTTAAAAGCTAAGTCCTCCCCTCGTAATTATAGAAACAAGAACCATAACGAGCGAATATCTTAACCTACCCCCTGAGAACAAAAATAAAGATTGTTAAACTTTATTATTAGTTTTATTCTTTATACCTGAAGCCTGGGGGTGCTTCTCACCCCCCATCTACAACCCTAACGCTTCAGTGCATGCAAGTTAAAAGGAAAACTATCAAACTTAAGTTGGTTTTTATAAATTTGCGAGTAAAAGTCGATTAATTATATTCAACTCGAATATTCCGAATAACTCCATAAAAAACAACAAACGTAATTTTTTATTACTTTTTTAATGAATAGTGGTACGGAACCCTTCGTGCGCGAGTCCAACTCGCACTTAACACTTAACTCGACAGAATATAAAGAAAGATATGTATTCTACCGGTAATATGTTCAAATAACAAAATTAAAATTTAGAAAACATAATATTTCCGACACCTTTCGTAGCTTCAACCTCCGATTTCAACCTCAATTCCCGGTCGGGTCAATTTTTTTTCTACAATATTATGGTCTAGGTAATGTGTGTTTAACTGTACAACGCTTATACCTTGCTTATTAGTAAGGCTTCATTTTAAGATACTGCTAACTTAAGTCACACAGACAAGCCATATAAAATAAACTCAATCATAACTGCAATATTCGACTGTGACTAATTTAAATGTCGATAAAAATTAAAAATCATGAAATTAATAAAGTCTCTCTTATTATTTTTTTCTCAAGACTCCGCATTGACAGCAATGAAGATCTCGATTAAAAATCGTTATGAAACGAGGACCTTTTTAAAATACACTGCATCAATAACGTGTCGCAATGTTCATGTATTATGCATCCCTTTTTAACATGCCGTGTGAACTTTGGACAATTGGTCACGACTAAGAAATAATTGACATTCTCAGACCGTACAGATCTTTCTTAAGATGAAAGCATATTTTCTTTTTTGTTTTAAAAGTCAAGTAATTTATCTATAAACCTTTCTTTGTTAAAGCACAGCTTTTCCTAAAACCACTCCCAAATTATAAAATTTTGTAATATGGTATTTTTACCTAAATTTATTAAAATACTTGACCCTGTGCACTTCGTACCAACATTTAAACTTTCCCTGGACTACAAGTTAGTTGACTTTTGAGCTGATATTTGTACATTTCAAAACCATAATCAGCTAAATCGGCTCCGCCGTTCTCAATTTTTAGCGAGACAAAAGAACAGAAATTGATTTATATCCTATTATATATAGGTATATTTAGACTTCTATAAATTATTAAATTACTTTATGATTATTTATTTCAATAAACCGTCGCGATACAATTAAATATTGCAATTAGCATATGGCTTGTAACATGAAATAACTTTAGGTGTGTGAGTTAATGCATATGTGTAAAAAGAAAGTCATTGGTTGAATATTAATAATAATATGATCTCTTCCACGATAAAAAATACTACTCCAGTCTACCTCATGCGTTACATTCTTCAAAGCGTTACCTGACGATCATAAAACCGAGATTTAGCCAGCAGAAGATTTTTTCTTCAAAATATTGGACCAACTATGATTTTGATTCTATTGATCACTGTAAATGAGGCATGATATGTTAGTATACGATGTCTTTTCTTTCTAACTTTGTTTGTTGATAGAAGGTAATTTTCGGAATTGATCATGAAAATACTTTCACCTACGGGAAGCTAGATCATACGCGGGTATTTATCATCAGCCCTCTTACGTCCCCACTGCAGGGGCTCAAACCTTCCTTATGGATGGTTAAGGAGGATGGGCCATGACCCTCCACGCTTGCCCAATGCGGATTGGAGGGTAGTAACGACTGCAAATGCAGCCGAGACCAACGGCTTAACGTGCCTTCCCAAGCACGGAGTAGCTCGAGATAATAATTATTTGGTCACTCATCCCGTGACCGACAGTTGCGAAAGTTGCTTAACGACAACGATCGCGGGCCGCGGCGCTTATCCACTACGCCACCGACCTACTCACGTGGGTATTATAGGCTATAATTTACGCAGGCGATCTCGTGATAACAGCCAGTTTCGTATTTTTGTCAGTCCGTGGATAGTCCTGACGTTTTGCGACCAAAACGCGCCAAGCGAATAATTAATATTTGTATAACAAACAAATATTAATCGATGCAACAATGACATTGAGGTGTGTGAAGAGTATGATTGCGTGACTTGCGGTTGTATGTACACTTCGATATGAATCCGTTACGGTGACCAACAAGGTCATTACTCCCATTGTTCTTAACTACGGCCAACTGTATTTGTACTGGACGTTGCTTTAAAGTTTTCATATAATATACGTAAAGGGGACTAAAAAATTATAATGTATTTTTCTCTCATTCTTCTAAATAATACCAAATGTCACGAGACCGGTCAGTGTAATGACGACATTAAGCTTTAATGAATGTTCTAAATTTATAAATTTGTATCGTAATATCCCTTGAAACAAATGACCATTTTAATGGACGTTTATCCAACTGGGTTTTGGATAATTAAAATCGTGAATTGCTTTTAAAATTATAAGGCGTTGGATTTAAGAGATGTCTATCAGAGATATCAGGTTATATTGTATGCAACCAAGCCAACCTTGATGACATATATTCTTTTATATGCTGACATCATTCAATTTTAAATTTGAATTTCGCGTGTCATTATCAGTCTAATTTATCTTAATAATTTTGCACACAATAATTTGATTAAAATATTACTGGTCTTGTACACAATTTTAAATACGCGTGTTTTCATGAAAATAAATTATATTTAACATTATCGGAAACTCTGACTCGGATGCTACATTATTATAATAATTAGTATTAATAACCAATATTTCTAGCGATTTCAAATATTAATTCTCAATTTCTGATATTTAAAAAAAATCGCGGACAAAGGACACAATTTTTTTTTGATTGCGTACCAATAACACAAATAAAATTTATATTTGATAAAAAATAAAAAATCCAAATGCTTTTTTACAGAGAAATAATGCCCAATAAATGTGATTTAACAATCAAAAAACACATCCGGAGTTGACTCATGATATATTTAATAAAATTATCTATATACAAAAATAATAACATCATTAAATTTTAAAATAGATCATGTTGTTCATTACTTTTCGTAATTATACTCTTTTATTCTATAGAAAATTGGAAAATTGATAAATATCCGAATTTATTTGAATTTAAATAAAAATACCAAATCATAACGATTATTGTAAAAATAAAATTATTGTTAATATAAAAAAATAAATTGTTTTATTTAACTTTATATATAACTTTTGTCAAGAAAGTTCATAGTGTATAAGTGATATTAATACTTTGTTTTAAAAAAGTTTGTAAAAGTCGAATTTTATTACTAAGGAATCAGTTTAATAAGATATTCCAAAAAAATGTAGATGCGGAAACATATAATATATCAAAAGTCTTGCGAAATTCAAAACATATTCACAACATCGCAATACAAGATACAAAATCTCAACTAGATCTACATATTATTTTAATAAAGCGTGATAACACTATTTCTGCGACAAGGTCGAATAGAGTATACATTGCATCTTAAATAAAAATTACCATTTGGCTACGTACGGTAAACAAACTAATCTGAATATTTAAATTGTTTATGTGGTTATTTTCGTATCGTCATCAGCCCTTTTCCGTCCCCATTGCAAATGCTCAGGCCTTCCTTATGAAGGGTTAGGATGGGCCATGACACTCCACGCTGACCCGGTGCGAATTGGATACCCTCCAACAACTGCAACTGCAGCCGGGACCAACGGCTTAACTTGCCTTCTAAAGCATGAAGTAGCTCTATAATTTTTTGGTCACCCATCCCGTGACCGACCCTTGTGAAAGTTGCTTAACAACAACGATCACGGGCCGCGGTGCATATCCTCTATGACACTGAGCTACTACTACTATTATTTTCGTATTATCCGAATATAATTTATTAATCATTAAAACTTTATTATACTCAAAATTACACATATGTAGCTTATATTCAAATTAATGCGTTAAAAAGAGATAGAGTAAACAATATATTGGCCTTTTTGTTAAACAGCATTCTCTTCCAACAACATTTTATAGATGAAAAATAACAATAAGGATACTGTGGGAAAGTGAATTCATATTGGGAAGAATACATAAATAAATGGCGAATACATCTTAAAATAAACATACCTTTACATGTAGAGTGAAATAGATGGAACATTTTTTAAAAAAAATTGACTACGAGATACACCTTCTTTGATATTTAACAAGAATCCGGGACCGCAGAGATTAATACATTGTAACTGCGAGGCACTCGGCTATGAAGGTTGTTGATAACCATTATAATCAGTAAAAATATATGTTATAATGGTATATGAATTTAAAATGAATCTATTTTTTATAGAAGGGTATTCCTATAAAAAATAGAAAAAATAGATTAAACTATAAAAATAGATCAATGGCTTCTATAACGAAAGCCTACGTAAAATTAAAATTTATTACTCCACTGTCGCAAAATTAAAATATTTTATGCTGTAGCCTTAAAGGAATAAGCCGACAGACCGAGCACATTGCATTTATATAGAAATCACTTTCACATACACACCTTAACATCGATCTCATGTTCATCTTCACGATGAAAAAATAAAGATGCGTCAAAGTAATTATGTGAATATTCGATGGCCTTTTATGGTCGTGCCTGAGTGATTCTCGAAAATTTACGATTACCAGCTGCCGAATTAAATGAGGATAAACGGTATCTGTCATTGTGGGACCGTGCAGAAATGCTGATTGGTCAAGGCGACCTTCGTGGAGCGGGCATCGGTGATGTTAACGTCGTATGCGTCCCGGTGCGGAGGAAGTCTATTCACATGGGTTAGGTTAGCGATACTCTGAGAGCATTATTATTTATCGTAATACGGACTCAGAAAAGGACAGGAGTAAAGAAGGAGGAATGTCTTAAAGCAAAAGATGGTTTATACATATTTATTGCTCTTAGAAATGATATAAATACATAAGCAAACAAGTATGTTACAATATGTCACCATTTTATTGAAATTATTCTTTACTCTTTGACTGCTTCAAAAAATTGGAATCCAGCTAAAACTTCCCTGAATAAAAAAACAAATAAAATTCGAATTCTGCACATTTCTAATAACAAAAACTTCATAAGTATTATGTGAAATAAAGTTTGTCTCAAAAATCTCACACCATAATGATTATATCAATTCGAAGGTAATATTACCTACTATTATAACGACAATATCATACTTTAAATCCCATCATGTACCTACGAATAACCTTGTGATACCTGAAGTTCTACTCTAGTCTTAAGGAATTCAAGATGATTATATTTTATATGGCAAAGTAAGATTACTAACCTATTCATATTATATTATATAAAAATATTAATATATAAAAGTTATTTAAAAGTCACAAAACCGCAACAAAATCTAACCTTTAGCGATTATCAAAATTCTTTTAGTTTTTAATATATAACACGAGATAATTAATAGGCCAACAGCTTAAAAATGTAACCATTCTCATTGAAATAATGAAAGTCTTCATAAAGGTAACATAATAATATTTAATTTAAATTAAATATAAAAAAAACTTAATTAATTTAAAAAAGCCTTGTTGTACCAACAGTCTAATATTGTGCAATAGTTTAGTGGAGTACTGGTATAACCCAGAATGCTACTTTCCTGGCTTGACTGCATGCTAGGGGTGTCAACAAAGGAAATCTGATTTAGAACAACTCTTCATAAGTAACTCTATGGACGTTTAAGTTACACCTTATATACCGGAATCAATCTTAGGTATTTTTAACAGATAGTCTCTCTGCAGCTTTTCAATGTCCACTTTTAAATCTTTTAGAAGTAAAATATACATTTATAAATTATCTAGTTAAATATAATTAAACGATACTTATTTATATTTTAACAATTCAAGATAACGAGAAAGGTCTCATCACATCACGTCACGTCACTTTCCAGAATATCTTAGGATCGACACACATAGTCAAATGCAGCGTAAAGCATTTTCACCAACAAAGCTTTATAGTCAAATGCGGCGTAAAGCTGTTTTACAAACAAAGCGTTATCGTTTTTGCAGACATTGAAACATGATCGAATAATGAATTAATACAACAAAAATATGTAGAGTTCTGCCTCGCTTATATTTTTGACGTTAGGAAATTTTGCAGGCAAGCTCTGCTCTTCGCTATGCCATATAAGTGTGCCACCCCTTAAAATATGAAATTATACATTGTAAAATATAATCAGTAAAGTAATAAGCGCAGAAATACATAAAACAAATATTTATTAAAATATACGTTCGAGATATCAAAATGTATGTAAATGGCATCATAAATAAACTTTAAATTGAAATCAAATTATGTATCGGCTATTTGTATTTTTAATATCGAAAGCCCTAACTCCAAAAAGGGATGTGTCATTTCAGGAGAGATCTCAACGTGACCTTGAATGAAAATCTTTAGTGTTGTTACGTAATGACCGTCGTATGGCGGGTCATATGTCAGGCCGGTTTTACGGTATCGGATGACATACGTTATCGAACACTCCCGACTATAAAAACTACCTCCCTGCCTGACACACGACACACGTGTTCATACACTCGCTAACCAACATCATGTACTCCAAAGTAAGAACCCGTCTTAAAGGATTTAATCGTTTTTACAAATTTATAGTAAAAAAAACATTAAGCAACTTTCTTTATAACTTTCATAACTCAAAAGTAAACGAAAAATTAACCTTTTTTTTCCTAATTTCGGATTACACCAATATCATATGATTTGTGTATCGTCTTTCTTTTTATGTGTTATTAATACGAGTGTGATGTAGGAATTATGACTAAAGTAATTGTTTTTTCTTCTTATTTATTATTCTAAATTATGTGATAATATCAAATATGGTATTGTAATTATTAAATAATAGATAATATTTAATTCACATATTAATCTGTTCGTATCATATATGTGAATATTCAGATTGTATCACAAGAATTTCACAACAAAAAATATTATTATAAATTTTTTTTTTGCCAGTGACATTAACTGTAAACATTTCACGTCATTCGTCAGGTCCTGATCGCTACCGTGTTAATAGCAGCGTGTCACGCTGGTATCATAGTGGACGACCCTCACAGTCACGCGGTGTCGACGCAGTCCATAATACGGAACAACGAGCCCTCACACCAAGTGACTGCACACCACTTCACTCCCGTCGTGCAACATACCCCGACTTTAGTACAACCGACTCTGGTTCAACAGTCGATTCCATTAGTACATGCGCCGGTACACCACGTCACTCCTTTGGTCCACCATGTTTCTCCTGTGGTGCAACACTTGTCGCCGGTAGTTCAACACGTGGGCTCACCTGTCGCTAGCCCCTTAGTACAACACGTCTCGCCTGTGGTCTCTGTCGACCGGGAACAAAGAGCCGAGAATTATGTGAGTGGTTTTCTTTCATCTACTAAATGTTCTTGTATATAACTACTTATAGCTTCGAAGTAAATATTCTGTAAAAATATATAATTCGTATTTTTATTCAAAAATAAAATAAATTTTATTAAGCATTAGTAGTTTACCCGGGAATTAGTCCACGTAAATTATTGCCAATGTTACCCGCATATTATATTAGCGGCCAAAACATTTTCAAAAACGGCCGAGTAGGTTAGGAGCCTAGGCTTGTGTCCTACAAGCGAATATACAGATTTCTGTTATATGTTCGGCAAGTATGAACCAAGTATATTTTATAACACTAATTTGGAAAATATTACGCTTTGAAAACTTGAAATAAATAGGGCAAATATACTACAAAAATTTGCTAAAATATATATGGCATTAAATAAGTTACATAAAACCTTACAACTTTCATTATAACAGCTATAAACATAAACGCACAAATAACAAAGATATTATTAAGCTTGCGCAGACGCCCATACGTTTTTCACTACCGTAGCACTGTCTGACGTCACTTAGTGCATTGACGTTGTAGGAGCATTAAAGGCCGCACTTCCACAAACGGCACCATATCTCCGAAACTATTAATCGCATCAATGCTTTTACTTCTACATTATTTCTCAGATTTAATGGAATATTAATTTATAAAATTAAAGAAAAAGCTTGTCAACTAGCCTTATTGTGCAAACCTTAAGTAATACTTCTTATATAAATAGCTTCCATTGACCAAAGCGAAATATTACTTTATCGCGTTACTTCGGATTGCATACACACATTATTAGCCCAGACAACTATTCTGGACTACTTACGTGGTCGGCTACACGCGTACAAATCTACAAACACAAAGAAAGTGAAAGGCAAATTGTACTATTATGATTTAAAAATCTGATCAGTTAATACAACCCAATTAAATGTTTATTGTGCAAGCTCCTTGTCATTACAAGACTATGGGATGGATGTTGTAACAACTCGATTAATCGATCATGCCGTAGTTAGGATTAAAGCCTATTTATCACAAGCATCATCAGTTCTTATACGTATATTTATTATACCCGTATTTAATGCATAAACTCAGTTTCAATAGACATGTGATAAAATAAAAGAACTATCAGACTGATAATTTATTTATTATAATTTATTTCAATAGTTTATATTTAGCTTTTAAATTCGTTTAGTCGTTGTTTTTAAAAGAATTTAATATATATTTTGTCAATTTAAAGGAAAGCAAGCAGGGAATAAGGGTATAGCGTCTATTTCGTTGCGATTTATCATCTGTTTTAAAAGACTTCAAATTTTAACTTAAAAAATATGATAGAATTAAGCAGTGAAATATAATAAATATTAGCGAGGCCGAATAAAAGCTCTGTTAACTATGATTCTAATTAATGTTAAAGTTTCCATGACATGACTGATCAATAGACCTGGGTAAATATCTAGGGGTCTATTCCCGTTCCCGTGGATGATTAAATTGGTATTCAAACGCAACTGTTTCGGTATAGTTCTTCTTTTGAATAACAAAATCATATAGATGTTAAAAAGTGCTTGACACTTTTGAAAACAAATTTTTATTACTTATATATTTTCTGTAACTTAATGTTGTCGTATGTCGGTTGCACGTTAGGCTAATACAATATGTCAAATTTTCTCAATTTATTTTGAATCTACCGAAAGTACATTAAGGATTAAATCCAAGCGGAGAAACTTTACAGTTTTGTATAGGTTGATGTGCTGTTGACTGTACATTAACTCTACTTTGAAAACTCTGGAAAACTTAAATGATAATATTCAATATTTTAGAGAAATTAAAATTTTACAAATTCTCGTATAGTATATTTAATACTTTGATTTATGAATGTTACAACATATTAACTGTCTAACACAAATAGGAAATGCCGTAATCTTTGCCTTTGAATTAGAATTTACGTTAGAAGTATATAAAGCTTTCTATTTTGCATTTGTCCAGTAGTAATATTCATAACATAAATCAGATTATCGTATTTTAATAAGCAAAAGTAAACTAATGCCGGTCCGGAATATAAGATAACCAAAGTAACAAATATAATAATTTTCTCTTAAAACAAAAAAATCCATAGATTTCTTTAATTATTTCTACTTAATTGTCATTTATGGGTAAAATTAACATTAAACTATTTAGTTTCACCCTCAAGACTTCTTACATTATAATTTTTATTTTGTTAGCGTAACCTTTTGTATATATAGTTTAGGTATAGGTAACACGATGTAATGTAGAACGTAACCTGGTTACTATAATTTCAATAAAGTTTAATATTATTTTCTTCTTCTTAATTAAAAAGGTTCTATGACCTTACTGGTAAACCGACCATTTTTTTAATCAAGATAATTATGATAAGGGAAGAATAAGTATAAGACATTGGAGAACTCTATTCCGCAGCTCTTTATTTTATTTGTTGTTTTATCCTAAGACAGTATAATTCATAATGTTTTTTCAGCCCCCAGCTAAATATGAGTTCTCATATACTGTGGAGGATCCTGTAACTGGTGACCATAAGTCACAACACGAGAGCCGTGAAGGCGACGTAGTGAAAGGCGAATATTCTTTGCTGCAACCTGATGGCTCTATCAGAAGGGTGGAATATACCGCGGATGACCAAAGCGGGTAAGTTAAATGGAAGTAGATCTAGCGTACAATGATAGCTTCTAAATTAGGGATAGTTTGAAAGTTAAAAGTAGCAACTTACAAACTATCCCTTATTAGAAGCTATCATTTTACAGGTGATATAATAATTAAAAATTGTGTATTTGTTTATAACATATGATGACGACGGCTTTATTAGTCGATATATCTTTCAAATTCAGCATATTGTCACATTAAAGCTTTAAAAAAATGTAATGTCTGAATATGAATTACTGTTTGATAACTAGTGAATAAATTTTTACAACCAATTTCGGATTGGATTAATTTTATATATATAATCTATCACCGTAATCTCCTTGTCGCATGAATACTTTAGAAAATTAAAAGACTGAATCACGATTTACTACTTGATAATTGTGATTAATTTCGCAACAAATTCCGTAATGCCATGATCCAACACCGAAGCACGATTTAAGAGAAAAAAATATTGATTATTTCAAATCTGAGAGAATAGTTGTATTAAAATAATGTCATTTCCTATTTTAATTGCAATTAATGAAATATCTCCTTGTTCAATAAATAGAACGAAAAAAGATGTATAAGATTTAAATGACATGCTGATATGTTATGTGAATCTTTATTTTATTATATCTATATAAAAAATCTACTCTTCTTTTACATTGATGAAGTGTATATGAGTATTTCTTAAATTCCATAAATAAGTTGGTTTTATATATTAATTTGTGTGACACCGCAAAACTTCTCACCAAACAATATTAATAAATAAGCAGCTATATCGCAGCAAAAACAATAATGTCAAAAGTTATCATAATTAAATGATATTATCGTCTCAAATGGTACCTGATCGCAGACCTCTATCGAGAACGAAAGTTACGTTTTCATTCATACAAAACCTGTTGTCGATCTGTCAAATTACGCAAAAAATCATCGATGTTAAGGCCAACCTTATGTAGATTAAGAAAGAAACGAAACTGGCGAGACTAATAGCTGTTTGTTTACAGACGTACTGCAATTCGCAAAAGTTTTATCTTAAACTGGCGCTGTTACAGACGATAACTTAGATAGTATCGTAATAAATCTCAAAGTCGATGGTGCGGAGGCCTATATTCAGCGTTTGTTGTTATACAACCAGAATTGCATTAGTGCTATTGTGCGAAATGGGACTGCGTAATGAGTATTAATCTCCTGTATTAGCCTGTATCATAGAGATTCCGCAAAGCCTGATTTTATTTCAATTAGAACGAAGATTCGTGTGTATAGATATAAAAATTATCTTCATGTTTTAGCAAAGAAATTCTTATTACAATCACTCATAAAAAGTATTGTGTCCTTTAGGTTTCCAAAAGAAATTACTTTATTTTTAAATAATCAGAAACAAAAGTAATAAATCGCTTTTTATTATTACTTCAATAATGAAAAACCAGTCAAGTGCGAGTTGGACACGGGTACGAGGGTTTGATACTATTATCTTTGAAAAACACAAAAAGCTTTTGTTGTATTTTTATTGTTATTTAAGTTGAGCGCTTTTAAATACTTACACGGATGGACAGTAGATTCTTGGTAATAAGATCCCATTTTACCCTTTGGTATGGTACCCTATAACAGTCAGATACAAAAACAAAACATTAAAAGAAAACGATATCGAAAAATTATTTCTCTTTTTAATTATACATTATACAGACATACAAATATTTCAAGACATGCCAATTTACCACATGCAGTGTATTACGATAAGATCATTAACAGTTCATAATTTTCTGTAATAATAAAGTTTTAAACAACTCGTGTTTCCAGTTTCAACGCCGTGGTGCATAATTCTGCGTCGACCGTGCACGCCACTGCTGCTCCGGAGTTGCACGCGGCATCTGCGGTACCATACATCACTACTCACCAATAAATAATAGCACCACTAATAATGAAAAAGAATTGAATTTGGAAAACTTGATTAATTGAAGAGGTCGTATACGTCTTCAATTTAAAATTGGAATGCACATAGACTGCTGATAATCTAAATCTTTTGTCTTTTGTAAAATGTAAACTAGTTATATAATTTGGTTATAAGTTATCGTACTGAATAAGGCCTACTCGTTTATTTAATATTTTAAAAATGAATTATGAAATGTTTATTATTGTAATTTCATAATTAAATTGTTGATAATTATTTACATTCTTTTTTTGCTGCAGCCCTTAAGCCATCTCTTATTTTAAAATATACCGTAATACAGTGCAATAAATTATAAGTGTGGGATGTGAATTACAAGTGGTAGGGGAAAAAAATTTATTTGGACGATTCAAAAGTGCTTGTAATAGCCTACATGAATAAATATATTTTCATTTCATTTCATTATTATTAAGTGAATATACTGTAAGATAAACAATATGACAGAATAATTGGAACAGTGTGAAAAAAAAATTAGAACTTTATATCTATAATAAATAGGTCGACTACTAAAAATTTCGGTATAAACATATAAAACAAAGGTCACATTGTATTGTAAATATTATATTTGGAATGTTAATGATATAATAGAGCCGCAAAACATAATTATCCTATTTATCCTTCATATTAAATCATGTTTACGCATCCTTAATCTTTCCTTATATCGAAAACAATTTAATAATATATTAATTAACATTAAATTATTAAATTTGTTTTTTAGATTGGGAAACAGAAAAGATGCGGTAATTAATTAGATTAAATCAAAACTGCCCCTAAATTATCAACTTTCGACAGCTCGTAATACCACTCGACGTTGATAATTATATTTTCATGTTTCTATTGAGATAACGTTAGCTCAAAAAAAACTGATTTCATGCTCAGTTAGCGTTTAGGAAAGTGCCCAGAAAATGCATTCATTGCATACAACCATCCGAACTGGTCAGACGTGTGATGTTGGGTAATAACTCATTAATTGCTCGTCATAACAATGAAACAGCCGACCTTCGTTTCACGTAACCTGATAAAAATAAAAAAAAGCTATAGCTTTTTTTTATTTATAACTTAAATCGTTTTATTATAAAACGAGGACTAAAGTCAATCCTTGAACTAGTAAAATAACTTAAAAAATTACTTAGGGCTGGTTGTACCAAATTATTTTAATAATAACAAAATGTGAAATACCAACTAAGAAAATAATAACTTGCATAATTTGGCAACGGTAGATTGACGTCATAATTTTAACTATTTACATAACCACCCAATCTGCGCTAGTTAAAATTATTGTTTTACTATATCAAAAAAGACGATGGTGCAACGCATGTCACGTTCAATGTCAATTTGATAGTTATAGACAAATTTGATATAAACCTTAACTTAATTAATTGCTCTTAGGGTGCAATCCGCCCACAGATATAGCCTTAAAATTTTACCGTACTTACGTCTAAATCATTCTACATTTTAATTTAAACCCACTAGTATCTCAACCCTAAAAGAAATTTTAAATATACTATTGTTTGTAAGAGATATCGATGTTGTCGTTTAATTTTTAATAAGTTATCCGAAATAAATTTATTCGAATATTATTTAAATTCAGAATCGTGTAAAAGCTATTTAATAAATTATATTATTATTGTGACATTACATTGACATTTCCAAGCAAGCTCTTTTGTTCTTGAGAAACAAGGCTCACTTTTTATTTTATTTAAAAATCGGTACTATATTTGAAACTGGAGATTATTTATTTAAAAAATATTTTGGAACTACCTATCTGAAAATTGAGAATTATCATGTTGACTAAGCCACAACTTCGACTATCATAAAAAACAGCAATTTGTATGTCTATGTCAATTAGTAACAGCTAAAAATTATTATCGAATGCAAATCGAATTTTTATCGAGAATAAATATTCATGGAAAAAATACGCGAAAAAGTAACAAGTGCTTGAAAAATTCGTCAGTCCTGTTAGATCCTGGGGAGCTCAGTGGTTAGAGCAGTCGCCCGAATTGCGAAAGGTTATGTGTTCGAGTTCCATCTCAGAGTTCCAGGGACAAAATGGATTTCTAAGCATTTTTCATTAAGTAATAAATTTGTATTGTATAAGAAATCTTAGCTCCCCTAACCGAACTAGCATATGCTGTGAAAATTTCAATAATAAAATTTTATATTTATGCTACATTAAAAATATGTTATAAGGAAAAATGTAAAGTCATATTTTTTGGTAATTCGTTAATACTTGTTGTTGATTTACAGAAATGAAATAATAATAATAAATTTAGTTTATTTACCGAACACAATTCAGAAACAAGAATTTTTTTATTTTATAAGGGAAACAATTCTTATTTTTCATCTATGTTTTCATTAAATTAAGTTACATTTAACTTTAAAAAATACATTATTATAGTACACACTTAGCTTAATGATAATAATAATTATGATAATGATAATGATACGATACATAAAATCTTTGTCATTTATATTTTTGTTAGTTACATTGTACGATGATATTGCATGTTTAGATTTTCGTCAAATTAAAGTTGGTTAATTTGAGAAAAATAAAAATATAAAGTGCTATAAATCTTTTTAAGAGAATTTTATTAAATGTTACGTTCGCACATATTTGCGAAATGAATTATAAATGAGTGTTTTGAGAAATTTTCGTTATATGAAAGTGTCTTACGTCAAAACGATTATCTGATGACGGAAGTGGTAGTACGGTACGTAACGATTTACTTGTGATAACTTAAACTTACCTATAAAGCCGTAAGACGGAAAATCTATGTCACGAATATCTTAAGAGGTAGGTTGTAAATTCTCGTGTAATGTAGCAATACTTGTAGATGATCTGACAGACGAGCTCCGTTCATCTGATAATCAGAGCGGTAAGTACAATTACAGAGGTTATATTTTATCGGAGACGCTGGTCATGGGATGGGTGACCAAGTAATTGTTCGAGCTCTGTGCTTTAGAACATAAAATAAGACGTTCGGCCCCGTCCACTTCGGTATTCCTTAACACTAATACGCTCTAACTAGTGTGGTGGTTTACAACCCTCACTAGAAGGGAAATGGTCTGGAATCCGGTAACGTGCACGCTGGACATAAATGGTTTATGGACCTACATTATCATCATCACGTCAGCCATACAACGCCAACGGCTGGACAAAGGCATCCCTCGTGTGTCTCCACGACGATTCGTACTATGCTGCCAGATCCAGCGGCTTCCCGCAATCTATATCGCACCGACGACGTCCGTCACTAAGCGTCGTCTGTTACGTGGTCGCAATTCCAGAACTTTTACACCCCAACGGCCATCGGTTCTTCTCGCTATGTACCGCGATCTCTGCCACTTTTGCTGAGCAATCCTTCAAGCAATGACAATTCAATCGCATAGGGAAACACAGCATTGCTTCCTCTATTGCCCACGAGAAAATTAAGCACTTACTACAGTAAAAAATATAAGAAGCAGTAAAAGACATCAACGCGTGATTTTTCTAAATTAAATTTATTTAACTGGTAAGCATTTTTCAACGTTTAAATTTTTTTTATCATTTTTAAGTTAGTAATAATACAACATTTCGTAAAACACAAGTAAAGTATTTAAAAGCATCACATGTTTACTATTTCAAAGTCATTATAGATTCTATGATATCCTTCACCAGCAACCCCAATTTTTCATAACGTACTCAATTAACAGATTTGAATGAATGAACTACAAATAAAACTAGAGATTACATACCACGTTGTCTCACACCGTATCGATCACGGTCAAGTGTTATTATTTATTTAGCTAATTAAAAATCCAGAGTGCAACATTAACATTGCAGTAAAAAAACGTACATTAGACGAGAACAGGGGCATGACGAAAGCGCATTATTGTCTTTAATAATTACGAGTGACAAGGTCGTGATGCAATTATTTTGTCTTTTGGGTTACCAGCGAGCGTCAGCGTCGAGAAACGCTCTACTTAGCTACGAGTACATATGTGCAACGTTATCACAATCATAACTGATAAATTTACATTCCACAAATATATATATGTTCATAAATATATCTATTGATATATACTTTGAAGCTAAACTTTAGTATCTTTACAGTAGATACAAATATAGGTTGAACGCTTCACATAAAGTTACTTACATTATGTAAATTTTTTTGTTATTCAAAGCAGACCGTTAATTTATAGCGGAAATTATTAAAAACTTCTACAACTTTAAGTAAATATAGATAAATCGTCTATATATCTATCCTGACACTGAATTCTATGAGTGGTAGGCATTATAACTGGGTCCGGAGCTTTCTCTCCTTGCAGGATACCGGATCCCGATATGGGAGGAGGGGGGGGGGGCACCCCTATGAAAAAAGGGTAGACATCACAAAGTTATATATATTAACTCTAATAACATAAACACTCAACAGAGTTTTGAGTAAGCGTGATATTTTTTAAGAATAATTCGAACTGAAGAGTGGTTATCAAAAATCCATCTCAGTAACAATGAGACGATCGGAATAACATTTCGTGTAATGATTCATTATAATGAGGTTATTATGCAAAAGATTGAACACGCTGATATAAATTCAGAGAGTTGATGTTTATTATTCATATCGAATTACATAAAAGTTATAACAATATTAGGAACGTTCCCTTTAATTAAATGTAATTCAATAATCACTATTCATGATACATATTTAATTATAACTAACAAAATATATGAAGATTTTTTTTTGCAAATACCTGATGTTAAATCATCCTAGCAGCAATTAGTTTTATTGGTTTAAAGTATGCCAGCGATTAAATGTCCGAGCAGCAAGTCGTTTATTTATTTTTAAAATATAAGAGCACCTATAGGGTAACTCAAATATAGGAAATATATTTTCTGCCAATGAACATGTCACGTGAGTGTCTTATTTGCATAACTAATTTCACTAACGCTTCTTTTATTTCTTGTTTTCTAGTTTCCAGAAATTTAAACATAAAATACACACTACTACACAACATGGCTCTAAGCTCTTTCCAGAAAGTACATCTCCATCGATACTGTACAAGATATTGTTTATAAAAATAAGCAGCATTTATTTCATTGGGTTGTGATATACATATATAGATTGCAATGATTTTTTTAAATTTATAATAAATCCTTTTAATAGTACGTTATTCCATAATAATTAATTAATCTCGTAAAAAGTAAAATACTCACGGTTTCGGCACACACAACCTTGGAGTTCTTATAAATTAACCTAAAACGTTTACTTATATTTAATAAGTCAATTTTATTGACGGCATTTAAAGTATTGCCAACTTTCAAAGGCGCAGTAAATCTTCCAAACTATTAATGATGTTTGTATTTCTACTATTAAATTAATTTACCACTTAAACGCATTAATCAAATGCGTAATAGTTTTAGTGACTTAGACTAAGAGCTTATCTATTTACTATAAGGCTAGTATAATTCACTATAATACTTTAAAATTAATTTGTTAATGCTTTTGTGCTAATATTTTCCCCAGAAATAATGTCAAAGAAATTAATATGAATAAAGTATATTGTTCTAATTATCGTCGTTTGTTATTATAAACCTTTGTTTTTAAGTCGGCTCCGAGATCGATAAATAATGTTTTTTTTCGCTCTAAACCTTTATGGATTTCAAAATAAATGTCAGAACTTAAATATAGATGAACTGGTTTGAGATTACAATGTACGCGATGGGAAAATAGTAAAACTGTTTTATTATATGTACTTACTAGGAATGTTACCACAAACAAATGTCTCACACTGATTTGATATGTAAATAAACATTTTTGATTTTTGATTTTTGATATGTTTAAAAAAATACATTTTCTTTGCTATTTTTCATTAAAGCTAGATTGAGATTTTTTCATATAACAAACACTTCTGCGATAAAACAACGACATTAAACTGAAATAAACTAAGAAACTTATTAGGTTAACCTATACACTTATTATAAGCCTGAAAAATGATAAAATTTACTTACTCGTACATATTGTCAGTGAGTGTGTGCCATCACCATCAGCGTCCTTTTGACTGGTAACTTCTATATTCACTTCTCTATACCTCCTCTACTTTCCTCCACGTCTATGGGGTAAAGTGAAATATATGTTTTAATTCAAGCAATTAATACTGAGTTAAAAGATTCAAATCATTTTACGTTGAATAAACTCCGTAACAAATTTATTAAATTTCTACATCATTGCAAAACTTTTCAAAAACAGTTACTATGCTACCCATATATTCAATATTAATTTGTCCTTTAACTACAGCGTATCCATAACTAATTTCTTCTTTCTGAGCTAAACGCCCAACTATAAAGTGTCTTCTGAATCGAATTTAATATTTTCCCCTTTTAGGATAAATTATCTAATTTATCCTAAAAGGGTGCCTGCACACTTTGGCATCTAAATAAGAATTCAGTAACAACATTTTACGTTATTTCAATAAATATACTTACATATTGTTGCTTCTTTTAATCAATGGGTGAAATAAATATAAGCAGAGCATCATACTAAAATTTATTATAGTATTACAATATATTTGTAGCAAGTGCAATGTCGCCCTTAACTTGGACTCTGCGTCACCTCAATTCACTTCGTGACGCCAAAACTGATTTTGATTTTTCGCTCGACAATTGAGGAAATATCAAGTGGCAATTATTGACATATTGTGTGTGTAAGGGACCAATAGAGTAACTCTGGTAACTCTGACTGTGATGAAAGTGATTAAAAAAAACTAATTTAATTGCTAATTTATTATCTTGTTTCATTTATATGTAATCATTTAATTATTTGAATAATGTATGTAATTTATTTTATTTATTGTGTTATTTTATTTAAGTCTCATTTTATTTTCTTTTTGTAATGTGTGATAATTGAAATTGATGTATGTCTTTTTTATCACAATAATATATTATAATAAAATAAAATAAAATATTCAGGTTACCCATTATTCACTTATACTTTAATTCCAAATCCCATTATACATTAAATATCTTTTTGATATTAAAATTCTCTAATGATCTATTTCCCTCAGTGCAATTGTTTCAAACACATGTATTTCTCACCTTGAACCACGCGGAGTGCCATAATTTTACGTAATTGCTATATTATTATCAAACTACCGTATTCTTGCGTAGACGGCCTACGCGTCGCATCTCACCCGTTAACTCATATAAAAGTCAGCGGCACAACTCTTCAGCAACAGTTGTGTGTGGTCGGTGAAACGAAGCAAACCTTATTCAAACGCAAAATGATCGCCAAAGTAAGTTTAAAACGCGTTTTGCTATCCTGTTTGCAAATTTAGTGAAAGGATAACTTGTGAAAACCCGGGAGTATAAAGCGAATTTTGCGTTACCACAAAACTCAAACTATACACTCTTGATTTCTATAACAATATTGTAGAGCCGTTTACATAAACGGAACTCGTCTAACAATATAACGCATGCGTGATTCTTGTCTTGTTACACCAAATGCATTCATAACAGCGTAGCAACTCTTATCTTAATCTGTTAGTTTTATTGTTGTTACACTTTCTAAAGTCTTGTTTTTATCTTTCTCTCATTCCTAACGAATCATGTCTCGTTATATTAAAAATATACCTAAGATCTTAACTTTAGCATTGTTAAAAAGATAAATAAAATTGGAATATTCTGTTCATATTCATAGTATATGACTTCGTAATTATTATTGAGCCTGCTCTAATTTTAGTATTTTTCAACGTGTAATAGATAAAGATCATGGTTGATGACTTTTACTAGTAAGTTGCACATGCATCTGCAATTGCAAAATATAATTATTCTATTAATTATCAAGTCTCTATTTGTACTCGAACAAAAATTCAAAAAATTTCGAACAGTTCTAATAATTTTGTTAACATCCATGAAAATGATCTGTGTATCAAAGGCAGTATCAGATCCTACCTCTGTTGCATCATAAATTATCGAAAAATGCGTTTCTTTGTAGTCCTATTAATAGATAATAGACGTTGATTTTGGAGAGATATAATAGGCTTTGTGTCATTTTAATTAGTGCGAGTATCAAATGTGTGTTTTGTCTAGGCCGCAGTAATTTTGTCCGTGGTTGCGCTGGCATCGGCTGGCGTGGTGCAGCTCGCCCACGGGTACGCGGGCGAGGGCTACGGACACGAGGCGGTCGCGTACGCACCGGTCGCGCAGTACGGACACGAGGACACGCATGTCGACTATCATGTAAGTTTGAATACTCATCATCGGGCTGAGGAACAAACCCTCCCTATAGAGGGAATCGAACAGGGGAAATTACGCGAGCTCAGCGCGTATTGGTACCAAAACTAATAACACGAAGGAGTTTGATAATAAATAACCAAACTCCAAAAATTAAATCTACAAATAGTATATTTTTTGGCAAAATAGATTAATATATATTCATAGGCATAGCGAAAGTCCTTTTAATATTTTTTGTAGATCTTAATTTTTCATTTTTTTCCTTTTAATAAGTCATGACAACTATAAAAAAACCTTTGTTTCTCAAGAAGTTTTTATTTATAAATAAAATAGAAAAATTAATTAGTTGTATATATAAAAAAAAATCATAAAATAATAAAAAAGCCGAAATTCCATTTGAATGTAATGACTACGCAGATTCCAACATATCATAGCCATCGATAACAAACATAGAGCAATTCACCTGACATATATTATGATTATAAGCATGGCATGGCAGTAGGTTCATTCAAAATAATATAAAATACTATACATTTTTATTTTTATTATTCGTAACATTTGTGAGTCTCTACTGCTAAAGACCAAAATCACGACTCATTTCAAAATGAAGTAAAAAGTAGAAAGTTTACAATTAAATGCGTTTCGGAAATTTATAAATATTAAACGAAATTATAAGTAGCGAAATCTAGCAAAATGCTAGCTAGAATAAACAGTTAGTAAGTACATAAGTACAAAATAAATATAATTAAGCACTTTTAGTCTAAAAAATCGTTAAGGTAGCTATTTTCGTACGTTAGTCATCTTCGATATCTCAGATAAAATACTTTGTTATATCAAAATAGAATACAAGCTATTCGTAAAAAGGAAAGGGTATATCAGCTTATGCTCGTTCAGATCCTAGTAGTTATAGCACCTTCTGCCTTCATTTGTTCTGATTATTCACCATTACATCAGAATAGTTATTTACCAAAACTATTATAGTTAACATAAGAGTCACGTGAAATATTTTTATACCAATCTAAAAGCTGGATAACTTGTAATCAAAGAAGTCGGTAAAATTCTTTTTATTTTCGCATTTTACACGCCGTAGAAAAATATCAAACTCAAAAATAAGTATCTAATTAGCAAAACAAGGCCTTTATTCAGGGAATTCAAAAATCGAGTCAACAATTGATGTTAAACAAAACCTTGCTTTTGCATTGAGCTCAATTTTCCGCTAACAATGAATATTTCCTTAGAAATATAATAATAATAATACTTTATTGTACTCAAGATGATAGAGTGTTTAGAGAAGCTTATTATTTATAACATTAAATAAAAAATGTGTCACCGATAACCCATTTAAAAAATCAACATCAAATCCAAAATGATTCTTAATTCTTTTTCATCAAGAATAACTTATAAAGTTTGCACTGCGAAAAGCATGGAAAACTTGTCTTAATACGACTAACAACAACATAAAACTACACCTAAAATTTGATTATTCAGATTTTAAATCACTCTAGAAAGATATCTGAATTGTACACTCGTAAATATTTATATCCAAATGATAAATACATCTATTTTTAAAGTGTAGGTATCCTTCAATCATAGCTAACGAAACCAACACTCTCCAATTGCTACACTTAGGATTATTTAAATCTGTCAATGGTTTGCGCAAACCATTCCAAATTTGGGTCACAAACGGCTAATACACATACTATTAAAACGAGCGTGAGAGCACGCCGTGGTTTATGCAAACGGTCCATTCTGCCCTGTATCATGACTGTCATTACCTCCCTGTCCGCACGGCGCGGTGTCGCAATAGTCCTGGGAAGTCGCTATCTGCCCGCTAGTCACGATCAGGGGGCCAATTCTAGTAAATAAATTTTGTCGAAACGAACACGCAACGAAACCAAACGAAACTACAGGTTAACTTTTCCTATTCTACTAAGTGACAAACGATACAATTCCAGGGCTATTTTAGTTTAGCTATTTTACCCCCCCTATCGATCGATAGATGCTGTGAAATGCATTCTCCTTCAGGGGGTCGATCGCGTAACTCAAACTATTACCAACGGTAGCCGTAAGAACGTTTCTAAATTTTATTAAATGGGTATGTTTTTATTAACGATGATATTTATTTTTTATTGTTAATATTGGTTAATACAGTGACTTTATATATTATTTCAATTCTCGAGATATCTTTGTTTATCTAAATTCGATTATTATTTTAAACATGCAAATTGTATTTGCTTTAATAATTAGATTAAAATACTTAAAGTAAAAATCATTATTATAAAAGATTTTATACGTAGATACTATTCATTTATAAAACAATAAAAGGTTCTTGTAACAATTGCTTTGACTATGTGTTCGAGTTGGGCGGTAGGGCTCCAGGACTTACAGTTTATGTAACTGTAGATTAACTATGAATTGTTACCGGCGGCAACGATCGATTTATGACAACATAATAAAACGACATCGGTCCAACGGGAGATTATCGGTTATGCTCTTTAATTTCCAATGCTGTTATTCAATAGACTGTCCTTACGTGAATCTAGTAATAACGATGTGAGGTAAAGTAAATGTATGTTTAATAATATCGGAAAATAAAAATAATCAAATAAATATTAAATCTAAACTATATCAACCGGTAATGCTTAATATTATGAATAGAATTCTTCTTTCCATGGTAAAGAAGAATTCTATTCATAACTTCTTTATTATAAATTCAAGAAAATATATATACGTTGTTTTTAATATAGCTATGTTGATATAATAAAAAGAAAGGAAGAGTAAACCAACAAATTATTATATTTTGTTTGTTAGCTTTGATGAGGGTCCAAAACTACTAACTGGACCGGTAGTAAAAATTGGTTCACTAGGAGGTTCCCGAAGTGACATCACATCATTATCACATTATTAGAAACGCGGAGAAAACAGCTATTCTCCAATATTGTTGATAATAAATCAACTAGATGATGGATAAAATACCGAAAAAAAAAAACTACTTCTGCAAACGACACAAATGTTTGTTTTAAGTTTCTAAAAATGGGAAATAAAATCAGAAAGGACAGTTCGACAAGTGGGCGATTGTCGGTAAGCGGTGTCCTACATAGAACTTGATGACGTAACAACAAATTATGAGCTGGGATAGTAGGGTCCGCAGACAACTATCGTATCCCGGAAACATGTCGATTGTGTTGGATCTCACGACATACTAGTTTATGCAAGCAATCAATTAGTAGCTATTGTGTTATGTCATTACCGCACTAGGGAAAACAAAACTGGCTCAGTTGCCCCACTTACGTATAAGATATTAGCTCTCATTTGTTTAACGTAACCTTTAATTAGCAGAAAATTGTTACCTTAGAGCCATTTTTAGAAGCCTTGACCAGATTTTTATACACATAGTTTCGGTGTGTGAATGAATTTGTATGTGACATTAAAATATTTTGCAATGCGATAATGATGGACTGTAATGCTCTCGTTGCGCGTTTGGATAAAAATATCGTTATTTGAAGGTTGCTCGTAATTTTATCTTGCAAAACTCAGAAACACCTTCTTCGTCATCATATTATTAATTTTGAAGGATAAGTTCTTTTTTAAAAAAGCGTTCTCCATCATAACTACAATTGATTGCAATTCATTTTTGTTTGTGTTATGAAATGAAATGAAATGAAAATATCTTTATTCAAGTAGGCTATTACAAGCACTTTTGAATCGTCCAAAAAAAAATTTTTTTTCCCCTACCACTTGTTCAGGACGTCTTTTAGCTGACAAGAAGAACAAGCGAAAGAAACTTACCAGCTTTTTATCATAAGTAATGACATTTACATAAATCATGTCATTACCAAAATAATATGTATTATCACAATAATAAATACAACTTTCAAAGTCTGTAGGACATAGGTTGAACATATAATTAGTTTTTATAGTTATGTTGTTTCATTAAATGAAATACTTACCTATAATTTAATTATGCTAGTAATACAATAGTATTATATAATTGAACGTTGTTTAGATCGAAATCTAAAAGCTCAATTTGGTTCACGGTAACCTATATAGACTAAGTTATTTGATCGCGTTCGCTATCGTGAATTGTAACCTTATGACCGGAGTACCCTTTAAATGGTAACCAAATCCATTGCCTTGGTAATTGGCTTTTGGAATGTCAACTCTTGTCGTTATACTACTATAAATTACCATCATTACCATAATCAAATCCTTATTATCAAATTCAAAAAAAATACCACTACAATAATTTGTTACAACACTATCTAATGTTTTCTTGCATTTTTTTCTTATTATTTGCTGAAACAATAAAGCTTTAAAATATCTAGTAATGCAATAAGTAAGTATAATGCAACTTTTTATTTTATCATAGTTCAAAGTTTGAAATCTAAATTGATTATCATCATCTGATATAAATTTGCCCACTGCTGGGGTACAGGCTTTCATTGTGGATAGAATCGAATAAAATAAGGAGGACGGAACATAAACCGCCACTTGGAATCATTACGGATTGGTAGAACACGGAACACGGAAAAGACGTCTTTCTGTGTTCTGTGGGTAAACAGATGCAACTGCGACTAAAGTTGTAAGATGCCTTCGGAAGTAGAGAGGAACTCATTATAGTAAATAAAATTACAAATCTCTTACCCCATGTTGCAGGCCCAACGCTCTAAGTTCGTCGTCGTCGATATTATAATATCGACTGACGTCATTACATAGTCCTTGTGTTTAACACTTGCCATAGTACAAGAAATGTGTCTTGTGTTCAAGCTTTTCTTTCTTACAGACTTTTAACAAATCCATAAACTGTTCCAGGCCCACCCAAAATACGACTACTCTTATTCGGTGTCAGACCCCCATACTGGTGACCACAAGACCCAGCATGAGGCCAGAGACGGTGATGTAGTGAAGGGCGAATACTCTCTGCTACAACCTGACGGTTCTTTCCGCAAAGTTACATACACAGCTGATGACCACAACGGGTAAGGAAATCAATAACCAGATTTTTTGGTGATGCTTTTTTGTTTTAAATGTACAAAATAACAAATGACTGTTGTTGTCTAATGAATCGTCACGTTCTGGATAATTTAAAACGCGTTTACCAATCTATCTAAATTTTCTGTTTTTTTTTTTATCAGTTTTACTAATTTTCTAACTTTCTGAAAATATCAATTGGCCCATTAAGTGGAAATATAATCTATATAAATATTTCTCAAAGTACCTATAAATTTCTCAAGAGTTAATTTTAATAAAGAGAATATTCAATATTTAGATTTAAACATTAATCATAAAGAATGACATAATCGCCAACTCCGGATAATTATTCTATTTATTACATTTGCCTGCATAAAATATATTATGACGAGTAGGTAAGGAAACAAACTAACTATTGTAAACTAACACATAACTTAAATAATAGAAGAGAGCGAACATTAAAAACGGTTTACGTGAATTACGTGGGAACGTTGAACGTAACAGAATACTTAGAAATATTGCACAACAGTATTCATCAATGGAAACTACTTATATCTAAGGAATTCAGTTCAATAAAATAAAACAAATGAAATACTAACAAATCACACCGAGTAAAATTTAAAATCCAAAACATTAAACAATAACGGACTTTTACTCTTTTTACCTTTATTTTCAACTGAAATAAAAAAATTTACAAAAAATATCCATAAATATTCTCACGAAGCTACTCATCTCATGTTACTTCTAAAACCAAGCTTTCAAAGTACATATATAACTTATACATCAACGTTTGTTTCAGATTCAACGCGGTTGTACACAACACTGCGCCAGTAGTACATCACGAGTACCATTAAGCCTCTACATATGTTGGCTTTTGGCCTCGTCAACCATGTGATATTATTACCTTTAATTCTTATTTAGATAGTCTTTAGTCGACATCGATTTATGTTTTAAGACTGCGGCGATAATAAACTGTTCGAAAACTCATAATGTTTTTTTTTATTATTCCATAAATTACAACTAAAACCCTACAAAATTTGTATTAATAAAAACATATACGTTATAAGAAAAGTGATCGTTTTGGTTAAGAGATATAAATTTATAATTTTTCTATGATTTAACAGTTTTGTTCGAGTGGTTTAAAGTCTTTCATAATATATTAAATAAAATTAATAGATAAAACAATGCACAATAACCTTATGCAGCTAATATCTACGTGTATATTATAGGTACTTCGTTATTTTTTATTATGTTATTTTCTTACAAATACATATCTTATATCTAGCAAATGTTAATTAGCCTTGCAACCATCGATAAGGTTGCATATGTGAAAGTTATTCATATATCGTTGCAGCATTATTTATTTTAGAATTACATATATTTTATATTTTGATTAATTTTGCATTCACAATTCCATACTGAAAATTATTCTTAATACAAAATGATTAAAAAATTCACTTCACAATCCACCACAACACAATCCACCTGGCACCCTGAGATGGGAATCGAACCCACGACCTTTCGCAATCCGAGCGACTGCTCTAACCACTAAGCTACCCAGGACCTAACAGGACTGATGAATCTTTCAAGCACTTGTTTCTTTTCGCTACTACATAGCGTATTCTCATGAAATATATAGGTTATTCATAGCTGTGTTTCCTTAATGCAATTGAGTTATTCTTATGAAATAATGTTGAGCAAAAATAAAAAAAATATTGGATATATCGAAATGTACAACTTAATTACGATGTTGCATTTATTTTTATCATCAGACATAGTTTAATTAATCCAATTTCACTGCACATCGTTGGATAATTACTCGTCAGAATATTTATATTTTAATTCATGCCTTTCCAACTCCCAATAGATAGAGTCGGGAGATAATAAACGAATCGAGAGAGTATTAAACGATTATATTTGAAAAAATGAAATCGCTTAATTTCGGTGGAGGCTAGATATAAAATAACTCTCCTTCAGTTCAAGGTTCTGCTGTGTAATAAAATCAGACTCAATGTTCTTATTATAAACTTTAACAGGCATGCAATAACATATTTTTTTATATAAATCGGTATATCGTTTTACAAATTTGAATTTTTATAAAATGTACATACGTACTGGGCACAGTTTATATACCCTTTTTTAGAAACAGTGGTTTACATGTATCAATAGAACCTGATACTTTCCTATTTTGCAACGCATTCTGCATTGTACGCAACTCCAACCTTAATTTTTCTTGAACAATGACCTCTACATCACGATGAGAACGATGTTTTTACTATTATATTATACAACAATATGAATTATTCTAAAAACACACTGTAAGTAAACTGCCACTACGGTTCTACAGTCATCAGTGCATTTCATTTTAGTCAATCAATAAGATCTCTTAACGCAAAGAGAATAAAGCTCAATCGCCTTTTTAAAATTTAGACAATAGTGGTAAATTAGTTATTGTAGCGTGTACATAGGCACATATCAGATAAATTTCAGTTAACATCGAAAACCAATACACTAAACCAAATGTACTACAATATCCAAATAACCACTCATACAAAAAAAAAATACAAAGATAACCTGTAATTAAATGTGACAAAAAAACAGTATAAGAAAAGTTACTTAAACTTCACTATTGCATATAATATTAATATTATCATATAATATATTATCTATAGCACTATAATATTAGCATTATGTAATTCTGTTAATGTTAGCGTAATTATAGGGAGTCAATGGCGCTTTAACTACAATCATTTATGACACAGTTCTTGATACTAATTCGCAAGATAATATCTGTCACCATTGTTTTGTTTTGAAATTAAGACATTACACTAATAATATTGGACTTCAGATAGAGAATACAACGGCAAAATCCAACAAAGTACAAAAAATAGAATTATAAGCAAGCTTGAAACGCACGGCCCACTTACCTCTCATAACTTAAAGGTGACAGTCCGCCATTGGCATTTTTTATAGACGTTAAAAATTTATTGTGGATACTAAGCCTTAACTCATATCCTACGTTAATTAGGATAAAGAATGAAAATAAAGTCATATAATTTTTATTTTATCATTATAAGTTCTAACTAATCCAAAGTTTCGTAAAGCTTTTCATTAAGAGACGTTCAAATAATTCGGTATGGCAAAACAATGGTACCCACTTGATGAAAATAAAAATGGGACATGTCTGACTTGGCATGAAGGGTTAAGTACCATTATTTAAATATTAATATAGCTCCCCTTATATATTAACTTTATTTTAATCTAAAGTAAACAATATAACTCAATGTACTCGTAGATACTGTGAATATTTCAAGCGTTTACATGTTATGGTTATAAATATCGATGAAATACGAGAAAAATTTACAAATTTTCTATGAAAGCGCCCTTTAAATATCTATTTTATTTTAATTTAATCATACATTTTTAAAGTAAATATGTCACGCTCAAAGACTAAAACCACTCATTAAGCGAAAAAATAGTTCAAAACGCTTTGAAGTGACAGATTATAAATTCGTGTTATGACTCTTATGGAAACGCTCACGACGCGTTATGGTAATCAAAGAAAAACCTCATAGGGAAATCCGTCTTAGTGCGTAAAAAATATACAACTATATATTCTGGGAATATTTCAAGCGATATTGCCGATATCAACATTAAGCAAAAACGAGCAAAAAAATATCACGTTTGAAATATGAGCTACAAATAAATATTTATATTATTTAGTATTTTTCGTTAAAGCGACAACAGAAATACGTCATGTGTGCAAATTTGAACTGATTAATCATAAGGGCGCTTGTGCACTACACTGAATTTTCATGTCCGGCGGTCCGATTTTTTCAGGTCCGATATGTCAGGCCATATGTATGTAATGCGCACTTGTGCACTGTCAGGAATTTTACCGTCCGGAATTTTACTTTTCTCTATTCCGGACCGGTTTTTTCAGGTCCGTGATGGCGGCAATGAAAAACGTGTTTACGCTTGTGCACTGCTGCGTCCGAGATCCGGAAAATTCATAAGGAATAGGCTTGGGAAAAAATAATCGATTTGAATCGATATTTATTTCGGCAATATTGTTAATTTTCAATAAACTTAAATCGATATTTATTGTTGTTTATAAAATGCTATATTTTATATGATGATTTAATATAGTTGGTTTATATCACTGCATATGCTTTGGCATATGCTCGGTATAGTTGTAATTTGATCAGCGTATGGTTCTAGTATCGATACTTAACTAGATTTTAGAATCGTATTAAAAGTATCGATAGCTTAAGGTAAGATAAATAAGTGTTGTTACGCTTAGACGCCTAAACAACTGAACTCATCTAAATGGAAATTAATATAGTAAATAGACTTAACTTTAAGAAAGGACATAGGCTACATTTTATCGCTAAAAATAGGGGATGAAAGTTTGCCTGGAAATTTGTCATTATCAGTTTTTTTTAGACAATTGATAAATATAGATAAATATTTGACAACAGAAGTAATAATAAAGAATAAACATAAGATTAACAAAAGTAATTAAGTGACACTCAATGTCTTCTTCGCATTTAATAAAAATTTAAATGTATGTTTGTGTCATTAATGAATTTAAAAAAAATAAGTATTCTAAGGGAATAATATTTCTGCTCAAAGAAACTACACTACGCGCATAAAATTATGCCTATATATAATATAGTCAAGTGATCTCGTAAAGTTCATTTAGCATAATAATTCTCCGCTAACACGGCACTAATTTCGATTTGTTTACGAAATGGCACCACCGATTGGTCTATCACTGTAATCGCTGAAAGTTGTTTTTACAAAACTTCGAAAAAAAAATAGCACTACACATCAGTAATTTTATTCTAATGTCACAGATATTTTTAACTATTGTATGTGAATAATGCTGTTCCTAAATTAGTAAGGGTATAAGTTTTTACATCTGATAGTAGTCATCCGATTGTACTAAAAAAAATGCTTCATTCGTCTTGCCATAATTTATTATGATTTATGTAAAACGATCAGATCATTATTTAGGTACCTTTCTACGTCTTCGAACGGAATTACCGACATTCCAAAAATCTCATCGTACATAGCGTAAGTGACGTGTAGCTTCAAAGAGAGCTGCCCTACACTGCGCCGCTCCGATCAGGAAAAAAACGGACAAGTGCACAAGCTACTCATCCGAGTTTTTCATGTCATTCCGGACCGGAAAAAATCGGACCGCCGGACCTGAAAATTCAGTGTAGTGCACAAGCGCCCTTACGGTTCGTGAGATGCCCGGTGATACCGCGGAATCTTACTAATATGGTCCCGTTTTACACCTTGACTACGGAACCCTTAAGATGTCAGGGGCATTCATTGATTAACGTTATTACTTTATTTTATTTTTACAACTTAAAGAAATAACTAATAAGTGTATCTACCAAATATATTTGTTACAACTAATATTTATTATTCATTTTAGAACTTGATGGCGCAGCGGCTAGTGCACAGCGGCTAGTGCGCAGCGGCTAGTGGGCAGCGGCTATACAGTTGCGATACAGTTGTTAGCTTGCAATAGTCTGGTGATGATGATTGGGCAAGGTAAATATATACTACTATAACAAAATTCCTACAGAAATTTTAAATTTACCATTGCCTAACTTTAAGACTCATAAAAATAGTCCAAGTTGGAAAAGATATACTGTTAATTAATATTTAAACGACAACTCCTTGGTGTTAAATATGTCTTACTTTTCACAAGTTTATTTTTAGTTGGGTGCAGTATCATGCAGTTTATCGTTTATCATTTATCGTTTATTATATATATATACACTTTTTATATTTTCTAGTATTGTGATGGAAAATGACATCATATTTTGTTGGCTAAATGGCGTTATGTCGAATTACCGCGTGATAATAAAATATTGTTTTCATTTCATATATATGAAACTAATAAAAAATAAAATATTCTGCGAGTTTGAATTTTTAATACATCTTCCTACGATTCCTGACATGTTATACAGAAATTAATTAGCAAGAAAGTGACCAAACAGAATTTAAAGTTCATCTTGCCTAATTTTCCGGACAACTCCTGTCGTCTGTCGGTCGCAATCTTGGCGTACCAGCGGAAAACTGTCGGCGGTTGCAGTGTGAAATTTATGAGTTTCCAGAACTTATTAGAAAATATGGAAATTTTCCTATTAGGTTATGGAAACTCACAAACTTCACACTTTCTGTAATAAATAGTACATATTATAAATTACATGAATAATGAAAACTATTTAGCATAACATTTTTCAAATAATATCAGTTTATTTTAAAATTATTATATTAATGCAACCGTTGCGTATTTCAAATGACCTCAGCGTACAGACAGCGAGTAGCGACTTTGTTTGTACTATGTATAGATAGGTTACGACGACAAGACTCGACACTCTTTTGAAAAGTGTGCCAATAATTTAAATAATAAAAGAATAGAGAACATAAAAGAGAAACTGCCTAGTATTCTAATGACTTCAGTAAAGCCTTAATACCTATATTACATTGTATAGTATTATAAGAAAGCTAGCTAGAAAATATGTTTTTTCTTACTATTATATTTTAGATCTGTGATATTATTCATAAAACAATAATTATCAATTCTAAATTTAGTAAGCCCTTGTTTTTTTTTAATATATTATTAATATCGTATCTCATTTATATCGGTTTTACTTTTAATTGATAGAAAAACAAATGACTTAAATTCAAGAATTTATTTCAGTGAAATATAATTTTTCGAGAAAGATTACAAGACAGTGAAAAGCCAGCATTATCATATTTCAAAAATTATCCTAACATTTTGAGGCCTTTTAGATTAAGCTTTTTCAATCTGATCTTGCTTTAAGATTGAGAAATAAAGATGATTACTTGCCGAGTTTTTAATTATTCAGAGAAAAATGCGTAATAGATTTTCTTAATAAATTCTTAACCTTTTGAATGCCCAATGCTTTTCTTCCGCCTCAATTGGTAATAGTTATAACCAACTTACATAAATCGTACAATTAAAGACAGACCATGATAATTGCCGGTTACTATCCGAAGGCGCTAACCAAAGTAATATTTCTTGAACCAACTAAAATAAAGAGTAACTGAGTAATAATTGGTAATGATAATTATTTAAATATGATCTACTAAGTCCTCAATATAACACTTTTTATTCAAGTTTATTATTTATGTAGTTATGAATTCAATGAATGAATGAATTCATTCATTCATTTAGTCATTCATTCATTCAGTTATGAATTCAATGTGAGAGATAAAAAACTAATTGCTAGGCTATTAGCTCTTAACTAATTGTAAAAATAAAATATTATTTGTCATTGTATATATAAATTTAATAATATAAGAAATATTATAAAACTATGTTAAAGTAAACATAAAATATAATAAAAAACCTTTAATTTGAAACAGCTTCAAGCCCCGTTCCCGCATTTTATACCTACTTTATGTAAAATTTATCGTTAGTAATAAGCAACATTTCATTTCGTTTTTTTCACCTTTACTTATAATATTTCCACTTAAGTCTTAGAGGCACATTGCGCTACGGATTTCACAGGCGTTGTCTTGTGACTTAGTACCTCTACTACCTGGTATTATAACAAGTACTGAGAAATCTGTAAATCTTTACCAAAAACGAATGCAGCTAAGTATAGCCTTCTATTACTCACAAAACTTCGTTCAATCATAATGGAAAACCAGTTTCATTGACAAATTTTGGCATAAGCCAAGCACGGGACAAATACTTATATAAAATCTTAAAATGCAATGTCAACAGTACAAAATTCTAAATAAACATTAAATAAGTTGATGAATACAGCTGATGAATGAGTTAAATGAATTTGAGGCTATACGCAACGTATGTGTATAATACCTACAGGTATTTTATGAATATCTGTGCTACAGGGGACGCGTCATTACCTTCATACTTGCTGAGAGTATCACTGCACAATCACAATTGAGAAAAATTCCTAAATAGAACAACCGACGATGGTAAGACTCACATGTAGAATAAAGGAATTGTAAACAGTTCCTGGCAGAGTTACTCAAGTAACTCATCAACCAGACCGCAAGCACAAAGGCCATATTCACGGTAAATTATACAGGCTTTGTGAATTCCTCATTTCGTATAGCGGATACTGAAACAGAGCCTGCGTGCGTTAAATCTTCATTAACATTTTAATTGTTGCCACCTATTCATTTTGTGGACGACATTGGAGGTTTGTTTCGGTATTACCGAACAGAATATTTTAAGACAAACAAAGAGGCTTTTATAAGTAGAGACATTCAGAAAAATATCAGTAGTACTCCACAGACCCCCATAGAAGATGAATCCTAAGGTAAGCGTTTACTTCATTGATAAAGACTTAATTATATTAATTTACAAAATTCATTTGATTTTCCAATTCCAGGGTATCTTAGGCTTGATATTAAGTATCTGGTTACATGGTGGGACTGGAGCTTCGTTTTCCCAAGTTTACGTTCAAAATGCAGGAAGTGATCCCTCAGGCTTCATCACATATGGCACTCCATCGATATACTCAGATTCGCAATATGCAAAATTAACAGAACCACAAATAGGTTCTATTGTCCCAGTTCCATCGATGGCTGATGTTCTACCTCCGTGTGTTTCACCATGTGTTATTTCTAATCAAAACATTGCACCCCTTGCTCCACTGCCTGTTGCTACTAATGCAAGACTCGTTACGTATAGAGCACCAAATGTTCCGGTGGCAGTAGCACCTAGCAAGGATGTAAGTAAAGCCACTGGTCAATTATCATATTCAATTCTTTTTATCGCGAAGCACAATATTATTTTTTTTTTCAGAACGGTTATGAATATTCTTATGTGGTTTATGACGAAAAGACAGGTGATCAAAAAGCACAACGTGAAACTAGCGACGGATCAACTGTTCACGGAGAATACTCATTTATACAACCTGATGGATATATTCGAGAAGTTAAATACACGGCAGATGATCTAACAGGGTGATTAAATTCACATTTGTATTTGTGTTTGGTAATGTGTTTTATAAATGAAAATCCAATAACCGTACTTTTGGTCATTTTACAGATTCAACGTAATCGTCAAAAGAATCCCGCCTAGTACTACTAATGAGGGAGATAAAAAAATACGAACAAAAACGAAGAGTGACACTGATCCATGTGCGGATACCAAAAAGGAAGCATTAAAAATAGTACCGGAACAAAAGAAAAATAACCTCGAACTGAACGAAGTGAATGCTGAACCAACAACAGCAGTGACATCTCCATTAGATGAAATAACAGAGTCAGTTACAGTACCCGTTACAACTTTGAAAGTAACTCAAGCCTCTTCAGAAACGCCACAACCTCACCAGTCTGACAATGTCACTATAGTTACACCTGAAGAAACTCAAGCTTCGGTACGGGAAATCACAGATGCACCGGCACCATCACAAATAAATTCAAACTTATTGGTGTCATATGACGATATTATTCGATGCATTCAATCTAAAATTCAACAACAAGCATCTCTGAAACCCGGAGTATCTCCGTTGACCTATGTTATTTTGCCTGGCAAACCTTGTTAATATTACAACTTTGCTTATATCAACTCTCTAGTCTTTTGTTTTGAATTTTTTAATTAACACCTTTTCATACACGTATTGTGTGCAACACATTGTTGAAACTTACATTTAATTGATTTTAAATAAATAATGAACTACACTTTTTTATTTTAATTAAAACCTTAATATTATTCACTAGCTTTCCGCCAGCGACATCCCCGACTGAATTATACATATGAAAATTCCTTTTGAATCACTTTATGTATTAATAATTTTTTACAGTTTACGAAAATAAATAAAAATAAATTAATATAGTTTACAGCAACGAATAAAACATAATTTTATGCACTGATTACATTTTTTTTCCTGTGATTAATACAAACAAATAGTAATGTTAAAAAGTATTTATGCTTATCTAGATCTATTTAATAAAATAGACAGTATTACTACTAAAGTTACAGATAAGCTTAACAATTTCGATTAACCAATCGATCAATTTCAACCTCGAAACTCTTATGGTAGTAAACTAATGGGAATAGATAAAATCTTTCTATTACAATTTCAGAACAATATATTCGTTTTAATATAATGACATACATATGAGTAATTAAAAAGTTACACTTTAAATTAAAATATTCAAGTTTTGACACAAGCCTTCTATTAGCTAGGCAGTCCACCTTCACATATTATGTCAACAACAAATCAGAATTTCGCACTTTAACTCATTCAATTGCTTTCCGGTGTAACCTGACTCTCTTTTGTTTCAAAAGCTGAACTATTACAGCTATTGTAGATATTATATATCTGTAATTACAATAATTCTTTGTATTGAATTCTTAATCTAACGCCGATGACCCAATTTTGGCAATTTTAAGATTGTGTCCCAATTTCGGCCATTTTAAAATAATGGCAAAGTATATACCTGGCAACGGTATATGCTTTGCCATTATTCAATATTTTGATGACCGTTTCCAGTAAAGTTGCGTTTGCCTATATGTAAGTTAGAACGCCTTAAGGTGAATGTCCATATATCAGCATATGCGCACCAGCCGCACGACACGCAACGAATTCTATTAAAAATTCTTATGACGTCATCACAATAATTTCGACGTCAAAACTGACTGTTACATTTTTCACTAATACTTCTCTGAAAAATGCTACTGCAGTGGCGGTATGATATCGACAAATAAAATAAATTATCGTGCATCCGGTGCATACCTGCTGAGGCAGTGAACGAGCTCCTTTAAAGTTCCAAATGGCAGAAGGGGGCCATTGGCCAAAACCACTTGTTATAACCTAGTTTGTGTTCTATCTGCCCTATTTCAAAAGTTTAAGCAGAACACAATACTGACAGGTATGTAATTTTAGTCGATACTATAATATTTCTACGTTGAAGGGTTTTAAATTTCTTTTCATCCTTCCCTTGGTCCTTTATTTGTAGTCATGATTTTCTTTCAAAATATCTTTTTAAAGTTTAAAAATCAAAAAATACTCACTGAAAATTCATTAAAATACTTCATCAATATTACAATAAACCTTTAAGAAAATTTTGTCAGTACAAATGATGATAATCCTTGGTCATAGCGTAAGGAACGATAGATATTCGTCCACGTCACTTGCGTATGGTGCAGCTTCCTCAAGATAAAATAATTTTTTAAATTCAGTCTAGTAGTTTAGGACCCTATTTAATGCAAACAACTAAATCCTTACTCTTTATGATTTTCTCTTTCCTCTTTATGAGTATAGAAATCATAAACGAAAAGAATGTATAATGTTTTAACGACATAATTCATTTATGAAACCAAATACCAAGTTTCACTTGACTTACAAGGTAAACAGAATAGTTTAAAAATTACAAAACTGGCGTTAAATTTTCTCAAGCGCAAAACATTAAACCAACAGTTAGGCCGGTTGAGTATGTAATAAATCTAAAGCCGATGGTGAAATGATTCTTATATTTAATGATATATTATAACAACTAGGCAACAATAGATACAATAATCCAACTAAATAGTTGAAACTAAAGTAAACAAGTTCACTTTGATGAAAAATATTTATATAGTCCTACCGAAACAATACTATTAGTATCCGTATCTGACTAATCACTGCATACTTTTGTTTAAATATTTATGATTTGGAATTAGAATATCATCAGCCTATGTTCGTCCACAGAGCTGCCCTGAGATTCTGAAAAAATACAAACCCGAATTCAAATTCACTCAGGTGTCCGATTACACTTCAAAAAATGACATCCGCTAAATCTTGAATTGGCAATAACGTTTCGTGCTATAAGTTAGGTGACTTTCGAAATGACATAGGAATACAATATCTGAAACACGTATGAATTAATTAATCTTGTTTTGTATTTTTACACAAAAATGGAATCAATAGAATTTCTAAATTTAATAATATGAATTCAGACACATGAGTGATTTCGAATCCATATTTGATTTTAAAGAATCGCTCTGCTGGATGTAGGCTTCGCCAAGTTGAAGCCACCGAACTTGATATTCATTTATTCTTAACCAGGAATTAGAACGTTAAACATAATGTATCGTCATGAAAGTAATACTTAGGAAAGACATGTAAAGTCACCAAATCAGCCTATATATTTATTTTTACTGGTTGTGCATTTTTGAGTATACGTTTTCATTACTCTTGATAATATCAAACCATATCATATCATATCATACTTAGATAATATCATACATTCAATATTTAAAAATATAATTATAACGAATAATAAAGATATATATTTTTATACGTCATACTTATACTCAGGCGTTTTGTTATTATTATCGAGAGCTTTTATCGACAATCTATAGAGGTCAACGGGCGAAATAAACTGAAATATATATTTTACATTCAATTCTTTAATGCTAATTGCAGTATGGTTAATTTACCTTGATCAGTTGTCCCTGAACACTTTTAGAAATTTATGCTTTTTAAATACAGTGCAAAAAATACTATCTCACTAAATAAGTGATTAAAATCTATTCATAGCCTAATTAAAATCAGAATGCGATTGAACTTTGCAGGATTTAGTTGAAAATATATATTTACCGGAACTAGGAAACGTGAATAATTAATTAAACTTGCGATAGTAACAAATGCTTTAGTTAGTTTCTAGAACTGACTATTTGTGTGACAACTGATTATTTTGTCCGGTATAATTAAAAAATATAGTATCTAATAATATTTGTTAAAATAATCTCATTCTCGTGACCAGTGTTTGAGGATTTGAATTTGCATTAGCCTAATGTAAGCGGATATATCTCAAGCATTTTGTTAGCACGCAAAGGTGGCGAGTGGCTCGTTGAGACCAGATTATATTCCATTATTTTGCAACCTGACATATAAGCAATGATTATATTTGTGTGATATGTCCTGAAAATGGATAGCTGCCTGTCACTTAATATTTTTCTAGTTTAAATAGTTTTTATCAGTAATCAATAAATTGAATTTAACTGAGAAAAATTGAATGGGATTGAAACCTCTGTATGAGAATCGTTGATAAGATTATGTTGATGTATGCAGATGTTTTAATACAAATTGATTTTGACTGAATGAGTAATGTTTTTAGATTTCCGTTGGATATATAGGTAATAAAACTGTGCAGAAAAATTAAATACTGCAAAGGGCAGAGTGTATTGGGTACCAGTTGAAAAAAATCAACACATTTTAAAATTGAAAGACATTCATGAGAAGTACGTATAATTACAGCCTTATCTTTGGAGTACGGGGTATTATTATTATCACGCTCAAGTATTTGATAGATGTTTGTAAGATGTGATTACTCGCGTATACATGTTTATTCAGATTGGATCTAGAATACTACATTACTTATAACCTCTTTATGTGTTTACAGAGGTTATAGGTAATAAATGGAGGAATATTTCTAGATTAAGTGTATATCTAAGGCATAACTGAGTCTATATATTTGGAAGCATTCATCGAAAAGCTAATAGGGCCGAGAAATAATATAAGCCACATCTGGTTGCATCAACTTAGGATAATTTCTGACATACATCATCCTAGCTCAGCCCGTTGCATATTTCTTCTGACTTACATTCCAAATTACTTTTTGCTGTCGGGTGACTTTTCCACGTTATGGATTCTAAGCATTAATTATCCCTTTACCCAGAAAATATCAATATCAATTATCTAAGCCATTATTAACCTTCTTCTCGACCCTTAGGTTCTTCTAACCTTAGCCTTCGGGGCCTTCAGTGGATGGAGGGTCCCACACACCCCCTGCTGCCTGTCGAGCGGTGGGGACAGTGCATAAAGCATTCCCCTACAATAAAATTATAAAGTTCTTTCAACTACAGAAGTTTACATCTAATATTCCATCTAATATACAGTAGCTGTCGTCAGTGACTCAAAATTCTTTTTATTCGTGATCATATAAATCTGAGAGTTGTAGATGCGCTTTTCAATATTATTTTTGAACTACATGCCCCTGTGTATCCTAAACGTGGATTTCATTTTCTGCGCTCCTATCATAACCGAAACCTTCACTGTTCTAAAAATCTCTGTATGCAAACTATTTTCTTACTCATTTTTTCATTATGATACTGGAATACTCTACCCCTTAACATTAGGAAAGCTCCCAACAAACTTTTATTTCAAAGGCTGCTTTGAGAGCACTATCTCAATCTTACAAAATAATGGTATCAGATGAATGTTGTTTGTCCTATGTTTATATACAATATTTTGTATTTTTATAAATATTGCATTATTTATTTAATTAATTTAATCTTTGTTGCTATTTGGCACACTAACTAGTCGATTGGTTGACAATGCTTTATAACATTCAATCCGACCTTTACTATTATGCAACTTTTAACGCTTCAACTCTTATGAAAATATAACTTGTTACTTATATGAATCAAGTTTTTTATTAATTGAACATCAGTTCTATGAGCTATCAAGAAATTATTTTATTAAAATTTAATTCCAATACCAACTTATAGTATAGAACACAGAACATGAACGAAACTAACGAAACAAACACACTAACAACTCGAACGTGACTAGACATAATAATCTTTGTTACCATAAAATCACCACAACTATTACACATTTCTCGATAGTAAAAGACAATGATTAACAACACACATTTATATCGGAACATTCGGACTAACCTTGACGGTGTCAAAGTTAGAGTCAAGGTGCGCTCACGCATTTCTCCGCCCCACCGCGCCCTCGCGTGTTAGACCCAGTTCTATAAAACCATACGGCAAGACCGTTGACATATCAATCAAGTCTTACTTGTTATACTATACACTCAAAATGTTTAGCAAAGTAAGTTCCGATAAATTATTAAAACGATCTTGCAAATTATCGAGTTATGGTTAGACAACAATAGAAAATTGTGTATTTTTAAACGAGTTTTGGATCAGAAATACTGGGAACAATTGCAATGATTAGATATACCTAAGAAAACACGAGCTAACCAATTGATTCATATAAATGAGCTTTTTATTTTGGTAGTAATAATTTGTTTTGTTTCAGATCGTAGCTTTTGGCGCCCTCTTGGCGGCTGCCAATGCAGGCCTATATGGTCATGGTCATGCTGTCTCTTCTCAGAGCATCATCCGTCACGATGAGGGACACGCTCCAGCACACTATGCCGTTCCCTTAGCCCACTATGCTGCCCCTGTAGCACACTATGCCGCCCCCGCTACACACTATGCTGCCCCCGTTGCCCACTATGCTGCCCCCGTTGCCCATTACGATGGACATGACGAATATGTTAGTAGTTAGATACATATTTTCATAATAAGGTTAATTAAATATACACATATTGACATTATTTTAAATTGCAGTCAGTAGATATTTTACAGATTTAAGCTTGCAGCAAAGTTTTTATAAAATAATACTTTCTGACAGTCCAATTGCAAATAAAAAGGGTTACTATCTATTATCTTACCTATGGCATTTATAATGTGCTTATCAAAACGTTTTTTCTGTTATTGTATTTTGTTTTAGAATCAACGCAAGTGTTCTATCAAAAATATTATATATTATCCACTCAATTAGAGAAAATATGTTTCAGGCTCATCCCAAATATGACTACTCGTACTCCGTTGCTGACCCCCACACCGGTGACCACAAATCCCAACACGAGAGCCGCGATGGTGACTCCGTCCACGGATACTACTCACTCCTGCAGCCTGATGGTTCCGTGCGCAAGGTCGAGTACACCGCTGACGCACACAATGGGTAAGCACCATAATCAACTCTTCGAGAAAATGGGCCATAACCTACTTCGTTAGCTTAATGTATTGGTGGACATTGCTAGACGTTAAGCCCTTAGAAATTCTATATGTTTAAAAAGCAAGTCAACAATTAGTATGAACATGAAACAGTCTTCTTATTAAGTCTTCTATTCTGTTCTATTCCATTAAGTCTTCCTAAATCATTTACTTATATTTTTTTAATATTACACATTATTGATGTTAATGTATTTTCAGTTTCAACGCCGTCGTACACAACTCTGCACCTTCCCTGCACATCGCTCCCGCTCCCGCCCACCATCATCATTACTAGAAAACAATCTGAATATATCTAATTAGCTTGCCTTATTTATATACTTGCATAACTATCAGGATGTATGCGTGTGTGTCTAATGAAAACTGTAAATAAAGTGTGACTGAATGTTTTCTTTAAAAATCGATGACTTTTATTACAAGTATCCAACCTAACCTTACCAAGAAGTACTTAGCACATATTTTTGCTAAATTTTCGATTTATGAAAAATATTTTCTTATGGTTAAATGAAGATCTCTTTTAGTCTTGCTATGATTGTCTGACGCTTGACTCAAAATTTTATATACATTTATTACAAAGAAACGTCCGACTGACAGCTAAAATATTTATTTATAAATATGCGCTAAAAATCATGAATATGATTCATATAAACCAAAGAAATCTATTACTGGTAAGAACTTAAAAAAATTGTAACAAATCAATAAAATCTCTGTTTTGGAAAATCATAATATGTAAAGTAGGTATTCTGTTATTAGAATTATAACTTTTTACAATTATAAAACAAAGTCCCCCGCCGCTTCTGTCTGTTCGTTTGTTCGCGATAAACCCGAAAAGTTCTGAACGGATTTTCATGCGGTTTTCAACAATAGATAGAACAATTCTTGAGGAAGTTTTAAGTCTGTAGTAAGTTTGGGTTTTGCACAAACTGACGATATTACAACAATATTACTTCAATATGTCGGAAAAAATAAAACCGATCGGAAGCTTTCCTCGAAAAGACTGCCAAAAACTTTGAAGTTATAACCAAACATTGTTTGGTGGAATTGTACCACTGAAATAGAACAAAAAAGTCCGCGGTGGTACATGTCTATATTTCAAGGATAAAACAGTAAAATGATGGGTTATTTACGAACCTGTTTTTAACAATACAGTATTAATCCTTATTCAAATAAATATGTTAGATACGTTATACATATAATGAAGATGCAATGAAAAAAACTGCCTTTTACACTTTATCAAAAAAATTAATAACTAATGAATGAGTTATCGAAAAATAAATTTATGTCCGGGCGAGAAATTAAATATCGATGAATAAAAATGAATCGCCGTAACGTATGTACGCGCATAACTTCCGAATTCCAGTTCCGACTGCACCAAGTTGTATGATTCTATTTTTCATGTTTTCCACGATTCATGACATTGTTTGTATATATATTTTTTTTTTTAAACGGGTATAAGGCGGTACGAATTTCGCCGGGTCAGCTAGTTACTTTTTATAACAGTTTTCATTTGATTGAACACGTTTTTGGATAATACAATAACCCCCCTCTGTATGCTATGACAACGCTGGAATCGATGACGAGTTCGAGACTATTTTTATAACATAATAAATAGCACTGCAGGTTGTCTAAACCTTAACAAATCACCCCAATTTTATTCGTAATTTATGGTAATCCCTTGGCTAACGCTTCGATATATTAAGAACTTTATAATAATCGATCATAGTCAAAACCATATAACAAAATGCAGGCAGGACAGATGACAAACAGTCCACAAGAATTAAATATGATACTCAAATATGGATTTATTGATCACAGTATAAACTACAGTGTCTATTTCTATATTTAGATTAATTATCTTCTTCCCACAATATGGATGCTTTATGTAGGCAAATATAGTTAGAATTGTAAATATATAGTATTACTTGCGAGTACAGTCATTCATCTCTGTAATAAGATCGAGATGTAACAAGCGATTATAGCGACAAAAAGAGTTATTGTTACCGTTGATGTATTGTACATACTTTAGGACTTCAAAAAATCGAGAATACGATGATTATGTACATCAGTTTATAGTTTAAAACATAATTAAAAACATTCTATAAATCAAACTTTTATTATAGCAGATGGCATTCAGATAAAAAAATATATACCAAATATGAAATTTGCACGAAAGACACACAAGAGAAATTGGATACAGACCACTGTTCTATTTATTTTTATATCGAAACGCCTTTAAGATGTAGTACATATTTAGAGAAACTGAATATTAATTTGTAAGATAAAAAAAATAACGCAATGTAGTTTTGCAGGTCAAATGTTAACAAAAATTCAAATCAGCCGTCATAACTCAACGTATTATTTTAAATAATGAAATTGAATAAGATCTACAGACATTAAGCGAGTTGTTTCTTACATCAACTCGCTTAACGTCCGTAAGCACCGCCCGATAACGATTTTATAACTGCATCAATATTGTGTCTCGTTCGTACACACTCAAAAAAAACTGGCCGAAAGTGATTGGACTCACGCGTTAAGGGTGGAGCACTCTGCAAAAATATTAATTAAAAAATATTAAAAAAAAATGTAAACTTGGTGATTTCGTATATCAGCAATGGTAAATTTTAATCTATATCTCCAAAAACTTAGGAAATATTTGTTCCTAAAATATCTATTACATAATATATATTATCTTTATATACATATACTAGCTGTTTCCCGCGATTTCGCCCACTTAAATTATCGTCTGTGCCAACTGTGTATGATTTAGCTTCCCGTAGGTGACAAACAAACAATCAAATCTTTCCTCTTTATAATATTAGTATAGTTAAAAATAATTGCTGTTTGTCGTTCAAACTCGCAAACGGCCGTGCCCATTTAGCTGATTTTAGTTTTGAAGTATTTGTCGTAGTCTAAGAATGATTTAAACGATGACAGATGTCACGAAATACACCAACTAGTATTAAATAAATAATTGAAATCGTCACAATAAATCCTTTCATATGATATGTCACACAATATAGTTTCAATTTTATTTGTAACACATCCAGCAAAAGCCTAAAAAATAAAAACTCTTCACAGTTTAATAATCCAAATAATGGTAAACAATATTGCACGGAAGGAAGTTGGAAGTGCAGGAAAAAGTTTTAAATAACCTCTAACTTTAATTAAATTGCTTGATAAAAGTACCGAAGGACCCAACATGTAAAATTTGAAGTTTATTTCCCCGTTTAATTTTTATAAAGTCTGTATTAATATATTTTTTTATATTATTATATGAAGAAAACGACGTATTTGAATTCAACACATTTTCATCGTGGGTTAATACTTTTACATTCGAATTTTACTCGGTTCACTGGATTATTTTTATAGATAGATGTTTCAACGATGAGTTTATCTGACGCCTAATTACTAAAATAAATGTATATTCTTTAACTTAATACCTTTACAGGTCCAAATTTAGTTTCAATAAGCCAAATTTTATACGGCCCAAGTTGCAATCAGATAATTAAATAAATTATTATAATAAAGAAAATGGCGAGAATACATTTGGACCCGCATTATAAATGAATGTATCTAAAATCTCTTTTGTACATAATTTCATTTGACTTTCCAACGATTTATTCCATATTTAATATTTAATGCAATAAATAGTATGCATTCCGAAAATTAAAAACTAACACACATAACTATTTTGAAAATAGAATATTATAAGAATAACGAGTATCGATTATAATAAGTATTCTAAATATTAATTTTAATCACAATATTATATTAAATATATTAACTTCTTTCTATTGATAGTAATTCACTTTATAAAGTAAGATAAGCCACATCTACCAATATCCTGTATCGAAGTTAATGAAAAGGAATGAACTAACAACATTTAAATATTTCTTCCTATATACTTCTTTTAAGCATTTCTTTTAAATAATAAATTATTATAACGCACAAATCAATATTCAATGGATATTTATTTGGTATGAGCACAAATGCGTTCTTACGCTCTATTATTAAGTTTTCATCTAAAAGTCAATTATGTGTTTGTAAGTTTTGTATTTGAAGATAGCAATAATTTTATAAAACAACGGTTGAAGTGCAAACTATTTTAAATTTTAGCGATACCTAAATAATTGAAACTATCTATCGAAATACTAATCAGGTCAAGTAAAGAACTAAGCTGCACCTGCCGCTCCTTTCCCAGAGAATTTTAAACTTTGGATAATATCTGATATACATTCTCCTACTTTTTGGGATTTTAACTTCATTAACTGAAAAAGATGTTGAAAAACTAAGATACTTTTCTCGATAGTAAAAGACAATGATTCACAACTCGCATTTATTGATAACATTCGAAATAACCTTGATGGTGTCAAAGTTACACAGTCAAGGTGCGCTCACGCATTTCTCTGCCCCACCGCACCCTCGCATGTTAGACCCAGTTCTATAAAACCACACGGCAGGACCGTTGATATATCAATCAAGTCTTACTTGTTATACTATACACTCAAAATGTTCAGCAAAGTAAGTTCCGATAAATTAATTAAGCAACCAAAAGAACCTTGGACACTATTTTTTAACGAATTATTGTTCTTCCTAAAAGAATATTGTTGTTTTCGAACGAGTTTTGAGTCTAGAATATTGGAAACTATTGAATGACTACTTTAGATATTCCTAAGAAAGATAACCGATTGATTTTGTTTTTATTTTTATTTTATTTAAAGGCTTATTTTTAAGCAGTCGCTGAGCCATTATGCCAGCTTCGATAATGAGGTGATTATTTAAGTAATAATAATTTGTTTCTTTCAGATCGTAGCTTTTGGCGCCCTCTTGGTGGCAGCCAATGCAGGCCTATATGGCCATGGTCATGCTGTCTCTTCTCAGAGCATCATCCGTCACGATGAGGGACACGCTCCAGCACACTACGCCGTTCCCTTAGCCCACTATGCTGCCCCTGTAGCCCATTATGCTGCCCCCGCTGCCCACTATGCTGCCCCAGTTGCCCACTATGCTGCCCCCGTTACCCATTACGATGGACATGACGAATATGTTAGTAATTAGACAAATATTTTCATTATAAAGTTTATAAACGACTCGGTATACACATATTAACAATAATTTAGAAAATTAGATAATTCACAGGTTTAGGTTTGTAGCAAAGTTTTAAATAATACTTTCTCACATTTTAATTGCAAATAAAAAGTGTTAAAATCGATTATCTTACCTATGGCATTTATAATTTTCGCAAAAAAAACGTCTTTCTCTTAGTTTGTTTTAAAATCAAAGCAAGTTTTCCATCAAGAAAATTTTACAGTATCCAGACAATTAGAGACAATATGTTTCAGGCTCATCCCAAATATGACTACTCATACTCCGTTGCTGACCCCCA